GCGTGCTTCCAACAGCTGACGCGATCCTGCATGGCAACGTTGTGTAATTCGAATTACGTAATGATTGCGGCGATGACAGAGTCGCGAATCGCCGTCATCGGCTTTGTCTTGAGCTAAATATCGATCATTGTCCCAAGTCTATACAGTTATTATCACGCGTATCGTTCGTTACTCGTACGCGATTTCCCGTTCGAGAAAAATACTATCGGAGACACGGTGATCGTTATGAAAGATCGTAAACTTTGTCACCGTCCATTGTGCAATAAAACTTGAGCATTCGCAATACTTTTCCGTCCATCCAAGTTTCTGACGCCATTTACACGTATTTAATCTTCCACGCAACATGTAGCGAACTAAAAGAACTTAATAGATCGAAATTTTTACATTTAAATTATTTTTTTATTCTTAATTTTTTTTTAATATGATTTTTAGTACTTCGAACGTTAGATACACATTTAAAATTTTTATAAATCAATAAATTGTAATAATTGGATTATATATAATAATATTTAAAATGTTATTTCTGTAAATAACTACTTCTGATCTTCTGAAAAGTAAAAATTCTTCGATATATTTTTATGCTTCAGTTAAGATTTATTTAAAGATTTTTGACCATTGATCATGGATGGCAATTGTTTTGGATTGTATACAAGTTTTTTTAAATACCATTTGTTAAACTAGAAAGTTTGAAAAAACGATATATATAGAATTTCTGAACTGTTGTTTCAGAATTGAAGTTTGAATAAAATCATAATTAATAAACTTAATTGCTGTTAATTAATTTACTTTACAAGCTATATAAAAAAATAATTTAATGTTTTAGTAATTATATCAAAGTCTTTTTTCTAATCATGCTAAGAAAAAAAAGTTAAAAAAGGAAGAAAATTGAGCAATTATCATTGAAAGAAATATGAAAGCGAGAGAACAGAATATTTCACTCGTTTCTTCTTATATTTCTGCATATAATGTACGTGTAGTGTACATGTTCGTGAATGGGCGTACATTTTGCAACTGAACGAATGTCAGGAAACAGAGTAAGGTAATTATCGTCATAAATTTTTGCAGAAACTATCTTATACTTAATCGCGTACACATTATAGACACACAAGTCTGTCCATGGTCACGCTTCGTGGACGCAGTCATTCACGCGGCCAATCGTTTCAATGGACTAACAACATCCTGCAATTAAAGTACTTGTTCTAATACAGTTCCACGACATGTGGAGCAACGAATGATCAAAAGATGACAGATGATAAAATTTGGTGAATCGTATGATTAATCAGATTTTCTTATAAATTCATATTTTAATATTAAAATGCTCAAAATGAAGAATTTAACGAATAATAATAGAAAATGATTTTTTATAATATATATATATAGAACAGATTAAGAAGAGAATTTGAAAATCTAACCTAAAAATTAAAATATTTTTGATTTCAATTTAGGTACTAAAAATTTGAAAATTTGAAAATATAGATTTTAGAAAATTAAAATATTTAGATATTATTTTAAATTTCATATTTTAAATTTTTCAATTTTTTAAAATCCAAATTTAATAAGATACTTTTTAAGTAAAATAAGATATAAGCTTCATTATTTATTAATACGTAATAAAGAGTGTTTATGTAATGTAATTCGGTAATTAAATGAGAATCACAGCGGTATTTCGAGCTATTAGAAACTAAATTGTGTTTCGTTGTAATCATACAAATGCAATTTAATCCGACTTGTCAACTATTGCACATTCGCGACTCCTTCATAAATTTAACTTAACTCAATCCACTAAAAGTCAAATGTCTTGATCTGTATCATCAATCTCTGTTATTGCTGCGAAATGACTCTCTTTCTATCGCTCTTGATCGACCAGGAAAATTCTCTATCATTATATTTATCTTTTTATCTTATAAATAAAATGAATTTTTTATTGCAATCTATTGCATATAAAATTGCATTAAGTTGATCTATAATAAAGCCCACGAATTTTCATACAATATTTATATTTTTATGTTGTAGAACATGTGATTGAAATTTTTTTTTAATTTACTCCTTTTAAATTAATAAATTAATAAATAATATTAATACGATTTATCTTAAAGTTCAAAAAATTTTCTTCTTTATTTTTTATAATTGTTTATAATTTTACAAATATAAATAAATTATTGTATAATTATAAATTATATATTTTAAATTTAAAACTTTCTCGTAAATAAAGCTTATTAAAAAAAAATTCTTCACATTGAATTTATATTTTTATAAATATTCTGTTCGTAAATATTACATTGTTAGCATATCTAATGTTCAATTTTGTGTAACAAAATCATACAATCCATCGATTTAAGTGATAATTAATATGTCTATAAAATAATATGTGTTTTCTCGACCGTGAAAAACAAAACAAGCACGCTTTAATATGCTCCACATTTTATAATGGAATCAGACGATCTCTTCGCGTCACGCAAAATGATGTTCATAAAGAGATCTTGAAAATTATGTATAGTATATGTTCCTATGTCGATATAGTTGCGAACGTTTCCCATTTATCCATTCAATATCTTCAAATGTGTATGCGCATGCGCATCATTACGCGATTACATTGTTGCTGTGTCAAGAATCCGCTTGAACTCCTATTAACCAATATCACGCGATCCTTAATATTTTAATTAATAGAATTATGCTAGATTTATTTTATAGATCTTCAAATACATCAAAAATTCTATTTTAAAACTTTTTCTGCATTTTGCAATTTTTTTAAATTCTATTGTACATATGCATCGAAGATATTTTTCTAAAAATATATTTTACCTTTTCTTTTTTATTCATTAATAATTTCTTTTGCTATTTCGGTGCATTAACAGTTTTTATATATATATATATATATATAAAAAGACAAGAATACAAAGAAGAATACAAAGTTGATACTTAGTCTAAAATATTACACAGAATATTTTATTCATTCATTGTCCCATCTTGTTTGATGTTCATTGAATTCTAACGTTCGATTCACGTGGATATTGCTGCAAGAGCACAGCAACATACGCGGTTAGGTCATCATTGTCCATGGTCATGGGCTGTCTAGGTGGTCCTCGTGAAAAGGAAACTGCATAATATATGCACGCGCGTTTTATTGCGGCACGCGGGCAAACGCATAAAGGAAAGGCAACCGCATTATGCGCGACACGAGTTCACCGACACGCTGGTTTATCTTATGTAGTGTGATGGAATCAGCCATGACGCAAGTGGTACCAAGACAATTTTTTTTTATTTTTTTCCTTTGTATTCGAAAATCTCACAAAAATTCAAATAATGTTTATTTTTAGTGATAATATTTTACAAAAAATATATTTTGCAAAAAAAAAATTTATTTGTATTGATTTTTCAATGTGAATATTTGAATTCTGAAATCAAAATATGTTCTTTATCTTTCTCTAAAATGACATTTTATGTAATTTTTTCTTCTAAAATTTTACAATCTTTTTAATATTCAATTTCTGATTTATTTAATTTTTTAATTCATAAGTGCATATTCGTTTTGAATCATTATTTTGAGTCCAAATTACCAAATTATTGGTATTTTTAAGCTTAGCATATTGTAAATCTCTAAGAACTTTAATTCTGTAATTGAATATCTATTTTAAAAGATGATTCACAATCTAACAGAAAAATATAATTAGAATCCAAATGAAAATAAAAAAAAAAGTGCAAAAGAAAGATTGAAAGATTGAAATACAAAAAAGAAACATAGCTGTATTAAAAACTTGAATTTAAAATATTTAGGATATGTGCGATTGTCATCATATTTTCTAAATAATTAAAAAAAATATATAATGAGAAATAAATAAAACTTCATGTAAAAAGAGATTTATATATATATATATATTAATAATATTATCAAAACCCAACAATATCAAATCGAATTTATTTTTTATTCGTAAAAAATAATCCATGTTTATCAGTTCATGACACACATGAAAAAAATCCAGATATATGTGGTAGTTAACAAAATGTTTTTACAAAATATTTTACTTAAAATATTTTTCAACTCGTTCTTCTATAAAATCTGAAAAATGCAACTTGTAACGATTTGACTCTGAAATACAGCCAGATTTACGTATATATAGAATAATATAGAATAATATTCTTATATTCAACGATGTATCCACAAAATGCAAATCTTGCAACTTTGACTTTGCATCGAAATCGATTTCGTAAGATTGAGATATCCGATCCAGACCGGTCGCTCGATTCGTGAGGCGTCGAGCCAAAATGTATTCCCACACCGATATGAATTTTCAGGTGGTTAGTAAGCTCTTCTGCGTAGAAACCACCGATATATACCGTCGTGTAAAAGAAGGACCGTGGGAGGCGAAGAGAGTGCATTCGCGTGGGCCTGTATCCTGTGCCACGTCCATTTGTCCCCGTGTCCGTTTCGTTTGTCGACAGTAGTATGTATGCGCTGTCGAGATTATCTTTTGGTGGAAAAACGAGTCACCGTAAATCGTACAACGCATTACAATCCTTCGGATCTTTTATAGAGAGAACTTAGTCGAGGAATAAAAGCCTTCTCTAACTATAGATTAATTAAATGTCGCATGTTAAAGTTTTATTTTGCATTTTCTCATTTCGTGTGACCTGAATTTATTAATCGTGCACGCTATATCAAAATAAAACACTTTTTTCTAATAAAGTTACAAATTGATGATAGAATGAATAGAAAAAGAATGTAAGTAAAATTTTATTCAAAAAAATTGTAGATAAAATCAGAATAACTTGAATAACATTCTATATATATATTCTAAACATTGAAATATATTTTTATAACTGTTTATAAAAGTTTGAAAAATTTATAACTAAATATTGTATTTTTTTTTTTTGAACTTTTGACTTATTAACTATAATATTAAAATGAATTTAAAAAAAAAAAGCAATAGCATGATTCGTAATTTTAAAAAACTAAAACTTATATTTAAAAAAAGTAATAATATTTGATGATGATACGAATATTTGATACGATTTACTTTATTTATTTTTTTTTTTCTCGTAAAGTACAGAGATTTTAAAATTATCACGTTCAAGAAAGTGTAATAAAGTAACATTTACACTCACGATCATCAAAGTCCGCCGATGTCGGGCGAATCGTTTGCACGCACGAAATTATACGCGTATTGTTACATCCGCTTTCATTCGACATTCCTTTGAAAGAGAGATTATTATTACATCCTACGGACGCACAAGGAATACAAATGGAAGGCGTGAACTATCGGATGGATAAAACGAGAGAATTAACATAACGTCTCGAATCATAAATTACACGTATATTGTCAAAAATTGATCGCAGTATATAGATAGGTATTATTTATATATATGTAATAGAATTTCCTAAGTACGGTCCTACATTAATTAACAATATATATTTATATTTTTTTTTTATTCTCGTTTCTTATCACACGCTCTTAATGTAATTGTAAATACGAAAAAATTCACCTTTTAACCGTAGACTATCGCGTGTTCTATAAATGTACCCTGATAAACGAGACGTGGTACGTAGTACATATGTATGGGGTTAACGACCGTAGGGGGTGCAGTTGGGTGCGGCTTTTCCTAATATCGTTAAAGGTGGGAGCAAACGCTTCGCCGATTATTTACAGGATACAAAGCAAATAAACGGTCGTGTTTCCGTGTGTATACGCCTTGTTCGGATTAATAGATATAACGTGTGCGTTAAACGATATAAATTTCTTATCGAAACGATAAATTCGTTAATGGAAATAATGTGCGTAAAAGAGAGCATTGTCGACGACGTAATATTTATTGTGGAGAAAATGCTACACCGTTTTTCTTTGGGATATTGTATGAAACTGCTTCGATTTGAAGAATCTCAATTGTTCAATTACAATCGTACAATTTGAATGTAAAAAAATTTTACAAGTTTTTTTTTTTTTTTTTTTACAGCATTATCTCTCTTTAGCTCGACGAGGTACATAGAATAACTTACGTGCAACATGTGAAAAATTGCGTATAAGATTACGTTTATAAGAACTTGATTACATAAGAGAAATATATATGTAATTTATATTAATAGGAAATTACCATTTTTTATTTCTAGATACTACGCAATCACAAAATTATATACGATAAACTAAACTGTCACAGAACGACAGAACACAAAAAATTCAACTACTTAAAAATTCCATTCCTCGTTTATAAATATATAACATTTTTTATTGGTATATTTTTATAATCAACCTGGAAGGAGAGCTATTCTAAAAATTGTGTATATATTTTCAAGAAAGGGAATTAAAAAAGGTGAAATAAAAAATTAATTATTATAATTATACTAATTATCATAACATTACACTTAACATCAAATTACTTTCTGCCATTCATACTTTATCTTGTATTCACAAAAATTTTGACCTGATACAATTATCATTAATAATATGTATATATAGGTATTTATTCATAAAATGATCTTTTATTATTATTATTATTATTGTTATTATTATTATTATGAAATACTTCTATACAATCACAAATGTAACATCTTCCAGGTCAATGAAAAATTGTTATCTCTTTTTGTATTATGAATTTCTTATATATACATTTCTATATATATCATTCATATTAAATAACATAAAATTCGACCAATATCATTAAATTTATCGTTTGTCTTTCTCCTAATTATTTATAGAATATGATATTTATCTATAAAATGAAGTGTAATGGTAAGCATTTATATACACTGCAGCCTCATTTTATTCTGTAATTTCAGTTCCATTAACCACATTCCAACAATGAATGATATCAATAAATTCAAATATTTTGCTACATGCTTTATATTAAATAACTGATTTAAAAATATTATACCAATCTACGTTGCTAATATATCTGTTTTCATTAATAACAGTTTTGTCGGTTTACAATTTTTGAAGGACAATTTTTTTACTGATAATAAAGTAAAATAATATTTTACATTATTGTAATTGTACATTCTTCATATTTCACTAAACCACAAAACTACTATTTCTTTATAAATTATTACGTACATCTAATGCACTAGTGGCAAAAAATGTTCTTGTACCATTCATGTAGACCGCACTGGCCCCGAAAATTGGCTCCATTGGAGCTATGCACAGAGTTTTTAAATAATATTAAATTGCACTCACAGTATATACCTTATTACTGCGAGAGAGATAAAACATGTGACTATTACATAGATGGATTTCCTTGGATTCCTTCTTCTTATATATATTATGAAATTGTCTGCAGTATATTTATATTACCATTAGCTTCTTCCTCTTCTTCTTCTTCCTAAAAGAACATAATGAATTTATATCATAATAAATCATGTTTTTAAAAAAGGATTCATGAAAATAATAAAAAATAAAATTAACTTACTTCGTCAAAACCAAAACAGGTTTCCATCTCTTTCTGTAATTTTGGATCATTTTGTGTATTTTGAGATTTATTAGTTGTTCCTGGTTCAATTTTTAACTCGTCCATTTCTACTTCTTCTTCTTCTCCATCATCAATTTCTTCTCCTGTACCAGTTACAATTCCACTTTCTTGACTCAGAGGATCTTGCATCACTAAATCTCCATCCTCGCTAGCTACAACGGCCATTTGCTGAACAAAAACAAAACAATTAAATTCATTAATATATAAATTACTTTTTAAAAAACACTAATATATAAATAGAGAATAATTTCAAAATATATTTTTTTGTATTTAATATAACGTATACCTGATCAGTTCCTTGATTGTCAGCTAACTGTATAACTTCCAATACAACATATTGTTGTCCATCGCTCCCTTCAACTGCCATCATATCGTCTTCATCATCTTCTTCTTCTTCATAACCTTTAAGTTTAGAAGCTAAATCACCTGTTATCATAACATAACACACGGATATTAGTCAATGACCTGTACACAGATCATATCGTAAGTGTCCCCGTGATCACAATTTTTTATAATTATTTATTCATTATATATGTGTAATAATTTTTTCATTTATAAAATCTAAATATTATTTTAAGCATATTAAATTTGACTTTGTTTCGAATTATACACATATAAATGAACTATTTTTTTCTTTTATAAATAATTTTACCTGTCATGACTTCAACTCTTTGTCCATCTATAATTTGAATCTTTTTCTGTCTACCCATCTTCAATGCTTGTTGTTTTTCTTGAAGAGATGATTCTGGATCATGAACAGCCATATGTCGAATAAGATTACCTTTATGCCTAAATATTAAAATTTATATAAATAAAATTTAAATATATTTTTTAATTATTTTCTATATATTTTCTTGATTTATAAATCGCAAATATTACATACCTAAATGGTCGTTCACATTCGGGACATTGATGTGTTTTCTCTTGTGGTGGAGGGGGAACATAAGAAGGATTATGATACAAATTACAATGCCGTTTTAGAAGTTGTTTTTGTCTGAAGGATTGAAAGCAATGATCACATTGATATGGTTTCTGATCGGTATGAATTAACATATGACTTTCAAGATGACGCGCAGATATAGAAGCATATGGACACAAATCACATTTATAACATTTTTCTCCTTCGTGAGTTTTACTGTGTAATTTATAGCTATATCTACAAAGATAAATTATATTTTTTATGTTTGTAATATACATATATATATATATTTTTTAGGATATAGTATATAGTTTTTCACATAATTACCTATCTGGGAATGTTTTTCCACAACGTTTACATTTCAAAGGTTTATCAGAGGTATGTAATTTTTGTACATGAATTCTGAGATCTGTTTTTCTTCCACAAGTGGTTGGACATAATTCACACTGAAATACTGGTTTATCACCAACTGTAACATATATATTATTATAAATCATATATATTAATCATATGTTAAAATAATTATATATAAAATAATTACATATAAAAAAAATTACATATAAAATATAATTAATATAATTATTATAAATTAAAAAATTTAGCAAGAAAATTATGTAATAAATAAAAGAATTTTTAGCATTAACATACCATTATGTATCAATTTATGAGCTTTTAAGCTATTAGACTGGGTAAACCTTGCTTGACAAAAATCACACTCATATGGCTTTTCTCCGGTATGTATACGCAAATGTCGCTTTAATTTAAAAGTATCAGGACTTGCATATGTACAATGTGGACACTGTAAAACAATTTTAATGAATATTTTAAATTTGTATATGTTTGTAATTAAATAAGATTTCAAGTGTATAATGTACCTGATATGGACGTTCCCCTGTATGACATCGTATATGACGTTTGAGCTTAGATAATTCAACAGATGCATAATCACATTCATGACATTTATGTGGTTTTTCATGAGTATGTCTATATCGAACATGTCTAACAAGTTCACCTATAAATATATATATAAATATACAGAAACTATTATGCCTTTATATTTCAATTATTTGTTTTATTTAATATATAATATATTAAAGAGAAATAATTATTAAAAAATATAAATAAATAAATAAATATGTATCTAATCACTAATATATATAATATATATAATCAAAAACTATTACATTATATACATATATCAAATATAATAAAAAAATTTATTTACCAGAAGTTGTGAATGCACTATCACAAAATTTACAACGATGTGGTTTGGTCCCAGTATGTGTATTAACATGATTTTGAAGCGAAGCTAATGTTTTAAATCCTCTTTCACAAACACTACATTTATGTGGTCTTTCTTCAGAATGTGATTTCATGTGCCGTGATAACAGATATCTATATTATATATATCATATATAAATTAAAAAATTATTTAAAAATTAAATTATAATAATTAATTATGCATAATTTAAAATAAAATAATAATACATGGATATGATTTTACTATAAAAAAATTACCTTTTTGGACTTGTGTAATTACAATAATTACACATATGAGCTTGAGTAACAGTTTGAGACTTTTTAGGTAAAAATTTAATAATTTTTGTTTTGTCATCTTCTGCTTCTGATTCCACAGGTGCTTCATTATCTTCATTATCTTCAAAGTCATAAACTGTAAGGTCTTGTTCCCCTTCCCCTTCTTCTCCTTCTGTTCCTTCTCGTTCTACAGGTCTGCTTTCTTTGTCTTCAGCATCAGGTTGCTGAACTATTAATACATAACTAACTTCTCCTGGATTTGTATCAGATGGTACAATAGTAACTGTTTGATATGCATCTCCAGAATTGATTACAACTTGATTATTTCCACCATTAGCTACATGACTCTATAAAATAATATATTTTTTATGATAATTATAAATATTGTATTATTCCATGATTAAAAATGATCCACTTACATCTTCATCACCATCAACATTTTCTAATTCTTCAATTTCATTATATTGTTCTTCTTGAGGTGTTTCTCCATCATTTTGTACATCTGTTTCTTCTACTTCTTGAATTTGTACCTGTGTCATCACAGGTGTTTCATCATTATTTGCTTGATAATAATATTGGCCAGATTGATCAACAAAATAAGTCCCACCCTCTTCTCCACCTGACAATCCTTCCACTTGTTGTACTACAATAGAATAATTTATAAATTTACAAATTTGTTCTTTTTACAATAAATATATAAATTTTTATTTATTTTTTTTGATATTAACATTGTACATGTTGTAATTGCTCTCCCTGACCTCCTTCTATTTCTTTATTAAATGTTTCTAAATAAGTCTGTATTTCTGTTACGGATTCTTGCCCCTCTTCTAACTTAATTGCTGCTACGTTACTTGTCATGGTCAGATCATTAACTCATACAAATGTACTTTCTCTCATTAGTCTGAAATAACATTAGATATTTTTTATTTAATAATTCACATAAATAATGCAATCATTTTCAAATAACATCTTTTGTCATTAAATTATATTTTTTTTATTATGAAAACATTAAAGTTAACTTTTATATATTTTAAATTATTTTAAATTTACATTTTTCTATTATTAAAAAGAAATTTTATATTTTTATATTTTTAAATTAATTATGTAATAATCATTTTAAAAAAATGTAATACTACAATAATATATATATAAATATAAAATTTTTATTATAAATATATAATATATCTAAAAAAAAAATATCTATATATTCTATTCAATTAGCCATTAAATTAAGATATTTATAAATTACATATATAATTGTATATATATTATATATATTGTAGAAATATAATATAGATATACATATATTGTATATAATACACATATTATATTATGTTAAAATATATAATTTCAATTTCATTAAATAATATTCTTATAAAAATACACAATAAATCTATATATATAATTATAGAATTATTAAAAAACTGAAATAAAGTTTAAATATTATATAAAATAAACATAACAAACATTTCGCAAGAATACGCAAATGTAATTAGTTTTACATTCGAGAAATGTATGAAAACATGTACATGCATACGAACATTTGGAATTGCACCAATTACCATCGGAATATGAGTGGCAATACATGAAACATTATGAGTCATGTAAAATTAAAGGAAAATCAATATCTGAGTAAGGAAATTCAAGGTACAAAAGAGCGGATAGACGAGAGGGGTCAACGAATAATTAACAAGATTGACCACGCTTTGGCAATCTTCGGAAGTGAGCATTGTAATGTTATAGCATTGTAAAGTCAAACAGAATTGACAAGAGCGACACACGCTGCTACAGAACGCCATGTAACACGCGAAGCGGGTAATGCGAACAAGGATGACGCCATGGGCAAAATGTGATTGCGTCGTGATGGGTGAAGGAGCGTGTGGAAATACGTAGCAGGCTTCCAGGGTTCCGTAACCGTGGACTTTCGTCGAACACCGGAGGCTCCAAAGTTGCGCATTCTGTCGGAAAGCTTTTAAGACAACGCGGGTGCTTTCGATTTCAGGACACAGGGGGCATTAACGACAAAAATTTCAGAAAATTATCACCGTCGGCGCTGTCATCAATATGGAGGACGCAACGGAAGGGAATACTGTTCGTTCTGCTACGTGCTACAGATAACTTACCAATCTTTTGCGTTTTGTTCGCGACCGGCGGCCACAAGTCTCTTCAAATATCGCTTAAAATCGTCTTTCTTCACACGGAATTAAGTTTCCACGTTGTGCTAAGTTCGCTTGCTGCACGAAACCTCGAAATATTCGCTTACCTCGTAAAGTCGAGAATGTTCGTGTGAGGGCGTTGTGTAAGACCCGGAGGACAATATGGCCGATCGAACTATGAATGTTCAAATGCTGCGCGTTGGTAGCTGCGCACTGGTACGCGTCACTCGTCATGTTTACACCGGACGACTGTCGTTTTAGGTACTTCCGGGCATTAAATTTATCTAGACTTTACCAATTAATTTGTTATTTTTCACATATTAAGCTTTCGCTTAATAAAATGTATGTTCAATATGCAATTGTTAAACTAATTTAATGATACAATATTATTAGTAAACATAATTTGATAACATTAACTTTAAACTTTTTTTTATATACTTGCAAATAGAGATATATATATATATTGACGAAACAAAAAAGAATCTGACGCCATGCGAAAAGAGCGGGAAAGTTATGTTAACGGGAAGGGAAATGATTAAAAGTTTTAATGGGGAAATCAACACTCATATGTATGTATGAAAGATTATTATTTATTATTTTTTTAATGATTTATAAATGACATAAATTAATGTAATAACATAACCAATATTATGCATATTAGAAATTGTAATAACAAAAAGATAACTATATATACAATTATCAAAATGTATCGTAGTAAAATTTTTTTATTTAAATTTTATAAAAAATTATTTAATTATTTATAATTTAACAAAATATTAATTCATTTTAGATTATTTTATTGAAATATTAATAATTTGCATTAAAATATTAAAAATAAAAAATATATATTTTGATTAATATTTAATCTAGTATATATTTATACTAGATTACATATATCTTTATATATTTTTTTTACTTCATACTCATATGCATTTCAATATAAAGATTTTCGAGCATAGAATATATATACTTATTGAATGTATTAATTAACAAACAATAAATAGATTATTTATACAATCTTATAAACAATACAAATTTATAAAATAATAATTTTTAATAAAAATATATAGTTAAATAATAATATTATTTCTATTAAATATATAATTTATTAACACATTTTATAAAATTATTATGAATAAAATAATTATGTTTATATTTAATATAATTATTTTTACATCATACATTAAGATAGATATTAAATTTAGTATATTAAATGAATTATGTAAATAAAAAAACTAAGATTTGAAAATTTAATCTGAATGTATATAATTTTGATTATTAAATTACAAGGAAAATAGATTGTACAAATTGTATGTAGAACACGTGTAAAATGTTATAAAAATAATTCTAATTATTGATATATTTTTTCTTTTTTTTTTTTTTAGTAATAATACATTTCTTTTTAAATATCATACACAAAAAATAACAATTGATTTTTTTCATATTGATAACGAAAACACGCGTATTTTATATAATTATATTTTATATAATTTTTTTTAACAAAAATGAAAAACAAATATAAACTAGACATAGTAAAAATCGATATAAAAAAGTTGTAATCGTTGCATGAACATAAATATGTAACAATTAAAAGTTTTATTATTTATAAGTATAAATCAAATAAATAACTATTTCATTAACCTATATCTCATGGTGAATGTCACAAGCTTGATCCATTCTAGAATATTGATCCATAGAATTTTTAATATCAATTTTTAAAATATAAACAATTATTATGGCCACTGTAATTGTAACTATCATAGAAAGTAATAGTAAATGCTTTAAAAATACAACTTCACTGTGCATCTTTGTATTACTTTCTTTCAAATGTGCTATCTGTAATTGATTAATTTATTTAATATAATTTATTAATATACATATCATATTTTAATTATTTTATATTATTATATTTTTATATATTATTATATATTTATATTTATTTATATAATAATTACCTTACGAGAAAGTGTATCTATTTGACTATTTTCTGATATTCCAGATATGGAATTTAATTTTAATACTTCATTATTCATAATTCCACCATAGCAACATTTTAATTTATGTTCTTCTGCTGGTTTTTCAGACTGAATAAGAAATAAATTTTAATCATCCATAAATGTTTATATAATTAACTTACATAGATATTTTTTTACCTTCCATAAAGCTGCTAACTCTTGAGCAGATGTATTCGGATCTTTTAATGGAAGGCACATAACTAAAAATTTATCAACATGTAAAAGAGCACGTACATTATGTTCTTGTTGTACAACAACTGAAATTGAGCGTTGTTCTTGAGGTAATAAAATTCCTGAACTTGGTCGTACTCTGAACTTTCCAGGTGATGTCGTTTTTACCTAAATAATATAATAATTAAAAATTTAGATTATGTCCTATATATATTTCTTAAATTTTCTTAAAATAAAAATACATCATACTTTATAAGATAAAGGTTTATCACTAGTCACATTTTTAAGTAAAATTGATCCACCAATTTCATTTCCTGATTTGTTAAAAATAACTGCATCTGGTTCAATAGATAATACTACAAAAGAATAGTGATTGTATTGTTAATGTAAGAATAAAAATAAAATTTTTTATTTTTATTTAAATAGTATTTGTAATAAAATATAAAATTTAATTTACATTGGTCTTCAGTTGATTGTTCTCCAAAACCACCTGGAGATTGTTCTGTTAATGGAGAACCTTCTGCAAAATGTACCTATAGTTATATGAAGACAAATTAATTTTTAAATGAATTTATAAGTTATTTACAGACATTTCTCAATAATTAAATACATACTTTTCTACTATCAAATTTACCATTCATAGTAGTATCTATATTATTTTGTGCTTCTGATACAAATTTGAAAAGATATTCATTACTACCACCCCAACATGTAAGTACATCATTAGGATCAACTAATTCATGTATGTTGCCTTTATGTACAAATTTAATTTTTGGAATTGCTTTAGGTGGTAACCATGATTTTATAATTTTAAATGCAGTATTTAATATCCATGGCATTTCAAAAATAATAATATAATTTAAAAAATTAGGATAATAACTTTTGCAAAGGTTAATTAAATATTTGATAAATTCCATATCCATATTTAAAATACCAGTATCTGACATATCAAAAAAAAGTGATATTTGATTGCCATTAGTTAGTCTAAAATAATATAAAAATTTTAGTTTTATTAATAATATTACTCTAAAAGTAATTTAATTTAATTTATTACAGATCATGTTACCTTTCTAATCTTTCAAACCAATATACAACAAGTTTTTGCAATTGATTAAACTCTTTACTTCCTTTAGTATGTAAACTACATTTAATAACAAACATTGTTTTACCATCTTTATCTTTACCATGAATAAAGCACAATCCAATATCTAAATAATCTTTTCTTACATTTTCTTCTGTAATCTCTGTATGTTAGATAATAATTGATATAAAATTATTAAAAATTATATTTATCATTTTATATGTATTTTTTTATATACATATTTTTTTTAATACATATTAAAACAATTAAAAAATATAGCATACACATGATTATATTTACCATTTGTACCAAATTTACTTCTCCAAATGCAAGTATCCCATAACATATTAAGGGATTCTTGTATATTGTTTTCATTGTGCTCTAAAAACCTTCTTAACCAATTGTTATTTTCTTTTACTCTAGCAATATCTGCAGGGTGAAACTCTAAAATTATATTTAATTATGAGAATAATTGAATCATGAACATTTCTGTGCATTACCCACTTGATTAATTAAATATGAGAGAAGAGAACAAAAACTTCATAAACTATTTATAAAAATTATCCTTATTTTTTAGTGGATGTATATTAAAAACATTGGCCTTGGAATACAACATTAAGTTTAAATTTTACTTTGTAAGTTAATCACATTTTTATAGAGTCATTAAAAAGGAAAAAATCAGTTTTATGAAATAAGAATAAGTATACACACTAGGATCTGGTGGTCCCTCGTCATCCAATTTTTTAAAAAATTTTTCACGAAGATGCGAGATTAATTCTGTTCGTACTTCCATCTTTGGTTAACCTGCTGACTATGACACTTTAACCGGCAGTGAATTACTAATACGATAGCCAGATGATAATTGTTTATCCGAACACCAGATATGCGCGCAGAGACACGCGCATGCTATTTGGACTTTATACTAAATTAATTGAAGTTTTTTAATTTTTTCATAACTATATAATAGGTTTTTTTTTTATATACTAATATGTAGAAAGATTTAATGTATAGTTTGAATCCGGAAATGCCACGTAGTATGATATTTTATAAAATATGGTTTATGAATTATTTCCGTGCAAGATATTACGTACTCAGTTTACTGTCAATATATTTATTTAAGCTTGATTTCCACGTTTACTATATCCATGTTATATCTAATGTAACTAATGTAATAAAGAATCTGAATATACAATTTATATGTTGATGAAAATAAATAAGATTCATTTAAAAAATATTTAAATCACAAAATTTTAAAATGTTACATGTTAATATTCTTCAATAATTAAATTTAAAAAATCAACAATTATCATAAAATTTATGTTTTTAATTTAAAATATTTTTCATTGTGACTATTTTAATTGATAATTAATTTAATTTATTTAAATTAATGTATTATTTATATATGTTTAGATTTATTTTTTTATAAAAAAATTTTTATTGTTATAAAAATAAATAATAAAAAAATTATCAATATAAAATTATTTCTATTATGCTCTGTTATGGTCATATAATATTTTTATCAATATACACAATATTTTTGATTAGAATTTTAATAAATTCTAATTAAATCAATTAAAATTATAAATAATAGTTAAAGATACTAAACATTGTAAAACACATAGATTTATATTCTATTAAAGAGAAAAAATAATGAATTTTGTTAATTAATTAATATGATTTTTTATATGTAAAATATTTACTCTTATTTTTTAAAACTTATTATATTTTATACAGATACTTAATCATGTCGATTTTAAATATTTTTCTTATAATTTAGATAATTAAAAAAAGAAGGATTGGTTTGGAAAACTAGGGAAATTTTAATCGATGTTATAAAATTCTATTAAGTTACTATTTGTTGATTCCATTCTTCATAAATTCGCCATAAAATTAATTGCACTTAAATCCATAGTTGTCATGGTTGAATCTGTACTTAATATGCCTATACAATAATAAATTTTGTTTTGATAAAAAACAAGTTATAAATAGTAAGAATAAAAATTTGACGATACTTGACTTATATAAAATGATAGGAAGGGTGTATGCATAAACGAAGTAATGTTTTCCGATACACGTGCACACAAAGGCACACTGTATGCAATGTATAATATATTTATGTGGGCATTAAAATATGCAGCTAGTTTTATATCGTATGACAATATGTATATGTATATACAATATTTGACATGTCAAATAATTCACAAATAGTTTTTTGCTTTTTTTCTTTTACACATATATCTTTCTTGTCAACAAATAACAAAGGCGTGAAATATGAAAATTTTAATTTACATAAAACAAAATTCTCGAAATATACACGGTTGACTACTATTTTCTTTTTTTGAACAAGATCCTTGGTCAACCTACGTTAACATAGAATTGTACAAAACGATAGATATTTATCGGGATATAATTTTCATCGCGGTAGTAATCATGGTACTATCTAAACGCGTTTCATTATTACAATAAACGTGGATACTTGAGTGTGTGTGTATATATAACCAGTCTGTAACTACTGCTATCATTAAAAATCATATATATGCATGTATATATCCACACACATATTGCAACATGTATATATATATATATATATTTATAAATACATGTGGGGCCATCCTATTTTTTAATCTATCATAGTCCACTCTTATATTAATAAAGGCATACTAAAAATTGAATAAGCATGCTAAGGCATGTATTTCTTATAATGATTTATATATGATTCTTGAAATTGCATAAAAATTCTATTAAAAAATTAATTAGCATATACAATTCAGTGATTTGTATATACAAATATACTATTTTAGTTAGTGGGACAGAATTATTGATCTTATATCATATATGAAGTGCATATATGTCTTAACATATTTTCATAATTATATTTATTGCAAATATCAATAAAAACTTTTTATTGAAAAAATCACATTTTCCCAAAAATTATTTTGATAATAATTTTTATTATATATAAAAGCGTATCTCCCAGTGCCTTTATCATATTAGTTGCAGACTAGGTGAATGGATTAAAATAGGGCAGCCATTGTGAGTATATGTATATTCATTTCAGATTTATAAAACTCTCATATGACAAATTAGTCATTTGAGAGATCTAATAATATAACACAAAAGATTTTGATAAAGATCTTTAAGAATATAACACATAATATGGTTGTATAAAATATTCTGAACACTGTAACATTCAGATGCTGTTCAAGAATATACCACTGATTAATATTCAGTTATTAAATTGTCCATTTATGAATATCCATTTTATATAGTTGAATTATTTTTTTTATATTATTTTTTCTGTTTAATTATTTCAGGTCTGTCCCATTAGACACTGTAATATATTATTTATAGATCTCAGTAATTTGAAATTTTGATCGATAATTGGCTACTCTATCAATTTAATCATCCGCATTATTTATAGGTATCCAAAATATTTACAACTTTATTTGCAGATGTTTCAATTTTTCATAATTCCTAAAATTCAATCTCTCTTTACAATATAAGAGAAGTTCCATTTAAAACTACTAGTTCTGTGTGAAGTTATTACTTATTCTTTGAATTAGTAAAACTTCCATTGACTTCAGTAACTGTTTTATATGCAAAAATTCAGTTACTTTCAGAATTAACTTCTTTTGCACCTTCACCATCTCCTTCTTCACGTGTCATGCTTTCTATAGGTGCTTGTGCATCCTCTACATTGGTAATATTACTAGATGGCAATTGTCCTTGTTGAATTGGTGGAGATACAGATGGTGGACCATTTTGAGCAGCTCCTTGTGGAAATCCTGTTTCTGCCGATACTAAGTGTGATGGCATATGTGGTGAAGCAGTTTGAGATTTTCTACTTTTTTCACCTTTTCTCCATAACGTTATTTCCTAAGAGATAATTTTATTGTAAAAAGTATTTTTAATAAAGAATTAGTAAATTATGAACATATTTTTTAACTTACTTGTTGTTTAAAATATCTACGATCTTCTTCATCCATAAGAACTAAATTAAGATAATATCTAACACTGAATTTTTTATTGATGTCACGCATTGTAGGTGTTAAATCATACCCTGCTAAAAATACTCTTATAGGGATAGATTCGCCTCGGACAGGTGCTCCATCCATTATTTCATATTTTGCTATAGTTTCATTTTCTGTGAATGTATGTGGACCTGCAAATATATATTCTATTTATAACTATAGTATAAGTTATATAACATAAAACAAATACTTAAAAAATAAAACATTTTCTCCAAAAAAGATATTAAAATTAATTAACAGTCCAAACAATATTATTATAACTATTTTTATGAAAAAAGAAAAAATTTGTTATTATACAATACCAGAACCAGTAGTTTCCCGTTTTATTATGGCAATTTCCATATGTTTGATTTTTATTCTAACCAAAAGAAAATATATTTTTCCAACAATAACATCTTTTAAGTGATATCTGAAAATATAAAAATAAAAATTTTATTTTTCTAAATCCAATACTTTTAATAAATATAAATATTAAATCTATAAATATATATTAAATCAATTAAATTTTTCATTACAGTAACTTACTTGCTTTTGTTATATTCAAATTCAATATGCAAACAGTCTTCAATTCCAACTTCCATTTTAATAGGATTATTCATATCCGGATAGGAACTAAGAGTATGCACAACTAATTCAAGTTCTTTAACAATATCACTAAGTCTTCGAACAATTGTAACTTTGAGAAAATATCTCAATCGTACATTAGATCCTGTATAACTTTCAAATGATTTTTCTACATTTGCAAATTCAAAAGTATATACTGTATTATGAGTTAATTCTCCTGGCCTAGCTAATTCTTTAACTAGGCTTGTGAATTCATGATGATTTCCTCTATCATAATATAATTCAATTTGTCCAATAAATTCTACTTTTACACCTTGATGTTCTAATTTACCAGCTTTCCTAAGACTAATATTAATCTGTAATATTAATTTTATTAACTGTATTTAATATATATAATTATATATTAGAAATAATGTTTCAATAAAAGAATAACATTATTACATATATTCTACATTATTACATATATTCTGTTCTATGATTTGAATTTATCAAATTATATAAGATAAGTATATTTATTTAAAGATATTAAATTATTTTGCAATATTAAATCAAATATATATATTTAAAAATACTTATATAAGCATAAATAAATTAGAAGATTATAATATTAATAAGAATTATTAATGCATAATAAGATAAAATTAAGTATTTATAATTTGTTCTTTACGCCTACTTAATTGTAGTTTTCGAATACCCATCATAGGTTATGAGTAACATTCTGTACTAATATTTCTTTTATATTATTAATATCTATTCATTTAAAAAAATGTTTTTACCTTTCCAGAAACGGTTTCACCGTCATAATATAACAAGTGGCGCTCTTTTTTACCATCTTCAGATTTAATATCTGCAGTCTTTCTGGTTTCTGCATCATCCAAAGTAATTTCTATATCAGCCGATTGACCAAACCCAAAGAAACTCTACGAGAAAAATAAAAGAGTAACGTTAGAGAAATTGTCAAATTTCATAATGAATGATTAAAGTATTTCCAAGACAAAGAATTTATTAATCAAAAAGTAACATACCATTTTTCGTAAAAAAGGTTGAGCTTGTAAAAATGATCACACGTTCTATTATAATAGTATATGCGTTAACAAGACCAACGTGTGAAATCAATGAAAAATCCTTGAAGGCAACATTTTTTCACGTAGAAATGAGAAAAGTTGTATTATTTTTTGCTCGCTTCCTCCCAAAAGTCACAAGTAGCCAATATGGCTGCGCACTGTGGCCCCCACCCTTATCATGTACTGTCAAACTTCCAGTCGCATATAACATACAGCAACATTAAAACCGGTAGTATCTAGTATTATTTATATCCATCTTTATTGTCTTTTAACATTTCTTAATGTTAATCGGATAACATGATACGTTTATGTTACAAATATCTCCCTTAAAAACATCTGTTCATTTGAATGTCAGGTGCGTTCGTAATGCTGTTCAATGGCGAATCGGTGACGTTCAAACACCAAACTATATTAATCTACACGTGATAACATGTTTGAATTCCATTTTCAAATCATTTACTTTACCCTAAATTTGAATAGATATAAAGAAATGATCACTGGATATTTAAAAGAAATTTTTTACTAATAACATAACATAATTAGTCAATGTACCCTTGCTTAGGCTAATTGAGTAAAAGGTGAGGACAAAAAAATCAATTTCCACATTCACTATTCATGATAAGCATATTGAATATATCATAATGGGAAAAATTAAAGTAAAAGTTGATGTGGATTATTCAATTATTAAGGAACTATGAAGAAATAATATGAATAGTTGTGTATGAGGTTAGATTCTGTGTTATTTTATACTATAAATTTATTTCCTTATATTCTTATAATAATTATTTTATAATATATTATGAATAACATATATAATGAAATTTCATTAATATTTACGTTAATTTCTATTTCAAGCAAAAACCATAATTATGTTGATAAACAATATTGAAATTTGTTCATATGATTAATAGTTAAAAATCTAATAAATAGTAATAAATCATGGATTATGATTACATGTCATTTCATAGAGAAAAAGATGTTCATAACAAATGCTATGGTGGAAGATTATGGTGTATAAAAGTATGTATAATTATTTTGTTATCTAATTTAAACATTTTTTATAATTATATAATTTAAATATTTTTTATTTGTTTTTTTTATTATAGGATATATGTGGAATTATATGTGCAATTTTAACATGGTTATTAATAATTTATGCAGAGTTTGTAGTAATGGCAGTTATTCTTATTCCTACAATAAATACCTTATATTCTAGCTTAAATACTGCAATATTTCAATCATTGGCTTTTTTAGCATTTGCATCTCATTTAAAGACAATGTTTACAGATCCTGTAAGCAAAAATTATATTTTGAAATATATATAATTAATATATTTAATATATATTAATAACTTAATAAAAAAAATATTTATAGGGTGCTGTTCTAAAAGGAAATGCTACAAAGGAAATGATAGAACAAATGGGATTTAGAGATGGACAAGTCATTTTTAAATGTCCTAAATGTTGTTCTATTAAACCTGATAGGGCACATCATTGTTCTGTTTGCCAAAGGTACAAAAAGTTTATATATAATTTTGAATATCTTAATTTTTATATATATATATATATATATATATATATATATAACATATAAAAAAAATTAAACACATATAAAACACATATAAAAAAATGAATAATAATAAATATTTGCATATTTTATTTGTAGATGTATTAGAAAAATGGACCATCATTGTCCATGGGTTAATAATTGTGTTGGAGAAAATAATCAAAAATATTTTGTACTTTTTACTGTGAGTTTTATTATAAATATATGCAAATTCAAAATATTATTATATAATTTAATATTTATATAATTTATTTTAGTTCTATATAGCAGGAATGTCATTGCATTCTTTATTCTTATGTATACAACAATTTGCTACATGTGTAAGACAGGAATGGAAAGAATGTTCTACATTTAGTCCACCTGCAACAGTGGTATTATTACTTTTTTTGGCTTTTGAAGCCCTTCTATTTGCCATTTTTACAGTTGTAATGTTAGGAACACAATTACAAGCAATTTGGAATGATGAAACTGTATGCATACGTTATTTAAAAAAATTCGTATATTTTCAAATAGATTATTTATTTGCTATTCTTTTTGTAGGGTATTGAACAACTTAAAAAAGAAGAAGCCAGGTGGGTTCGTAATAGTAGATGGAAATCTATTCAAGCTGTATTTGGAAGATTTTCCATTGCTTGGTTTTCGCCGTTTACTTCTCCTCCAAAAGGAAAAACAAAGCAAGATTCTTATTTATATTCCGTATAATATGTATTACGGTTTATGGTTGATTCCCAGGGATATTTAATATTTTTAAATATAAAATAATTATGACGTATCATGTACAAGTGAATAGAATGTTTGTAATCTTATATTGTTACCTAACGTTCTTATTTTATTGCGACCATTTTTTAAAGATACTTATAACGTACTACATTATATGTAGTACATATATATTATAGTTAAAGTAAATTTATAAGCATACGATATAGTATGTTTCTTGTAAAGCTTTTTGTGCTAAAATATTGAAATTATTGTACTGCGGTAATGACAACGCTAAGCTGATTTTTATCTATGATAATATCAACACTACTCGTAAACTGAAATTTGTTTATTGTATTAATATACAATTACATGTTATATCATAGAAATTAATATATAATGAAACTATGCGAATATTATATGTGAATGAATATACGTACATGACATTAGTTTATTCGCGAATTTTAAAAAATTCAAAAAATTAATGAAACTGATTTTTTGCACTGTATTAGAGAATATACATATATATTGCACATTGTGATAATAGCGTAATATATTTACGAACGATTTAGTTTGTTTTTTTTTTTAAATTTAATATATTAATTATCAACTTACAATGTTTCGATCAAATTTGGTGATCTGTAACAGTAATAACTGTTTATAAGATATATTTTTTTTTAAATTTAAGCATATCATAATTAATTACATTTTCTTATTCTTCAATATTGTATTTCTACGACGATACCTGATTTTTTGTACACTTTGTACAAATACACTTTTTTACATTTACTAGTATTGTTTTTGTTCGCCTTTACGAACAGTAAAAAAACTTTTCTTTTATACTTTTTTATATTTAATCTTTTCTAAACACTTTTAAACACTTGATTTATGCAAAATATATTTAACATTGGTGAAATTCAAGATTGTATTTTCTAATTTCGTTAGTTTCCGTTATAAATCTTAAATGTGCTCTTGGTCTTCAGGGTGGGGGCGCTAGGTAGTTGCAAGGTCGTTAAATGTGTATAAAGAAAACGTCTTTCTATACTGTTGTGTGCGATTGCCGGAGTGGCTTTCACTTTTGCTACGACCACGTTCGGTAAGTTTTGATCATGAAAACTTGTAGTTTACTAATCTTTTTATGATAAAGAATTTTTTATAATATAGTTAATATTTAGGCGACTTAAATTCAATGTAGAATTGACGGGATCGTTACATCTTTTCCATAACTAGCTTTAATCGTTGAATAAAAATGAAAGTAAAATTAGTAATTATGTTTAGTTTAATTCAAGTAATGATGCGAAGTTTATTGAATTTAATTAAGTTATCTATTTTATATATAGATATGTATCTACACTTCCATTTTTTGTCTCGATAACTGAAAATTATTTTTATTCTTTTAATAATTTTTTTCATTTTAGTAAATATTAAATATTAAATGTTAAAAAGAAAAATTCATTCAATAAAAATTTTTAAGTATTTTTATTAAATGAATTTTTTTTTAATTCAACCAAATATTTTTAATTGTGTGTAAATTGAAAAAAAAACGAATGAACGAATGTAAGAAGAAGAAACACAAATCTGTTGCGTGCTCGCGAAATTAACGGCAAATAAATTCGTGACTCATGACTGATTACTTTTTTTATTCATCGTGATCAAGGGAAAGATAAATAGAAAATATAAAATATCGTCTTGAAATCAGAATATTATTTAGCTTAATGAAAAAATCTATTAGAAATTTTTCCAATTATTATTTATCATTAATGAAATATACATATAATATCATAAATTGCATTTATAATCTATATCAAAATTGTATATTGGATTGATTAATCATGTTTAATTTCTATAGAAAATAATATTTTGAATAAATCACTCTCGCTTATTTTGATATAAATAAATAAATAAATTCAAATTGAAATTGGCTAACTAGTAATTAAAATTGCAAATCTTTGCATTTTCTTTTCTCCAAAACACGATTTATTTGGCTAGTTTATATCTCAACCATGCGAGTCGAATTATTTTAAATATCATTGCTTTAATTATGTGATTTATGATATTCGCATTTCACGATATAATTCATGATTAATTCATTTTATATTTATCTTTTATTTTATTCATACAATATAATACTTTTTATAATTATAGGGCTTCGATCAACTTTGAATAGGGATCGAAGTATGGCAGTAAATTCTTTCATCTTTATGGTATGTATTTATATTAAATACTTACGTTTTCTTTTATCGGGATCACTTTTTGAAAATGTAAGATTGAAAAATGCTATTAATGTTATTATATAATATTATAATAAATTATAATATTATTAAAATATTATTATATGCAATTAGTGCTATTATGTTGTCAAGGCTACAATAATTTCGATCTTCAAAGTCAAGAACTGAAAAATCAAAACATTAAAAATTAAAATTACATCATAATTTGAAAAATAACTATAAGAATCATTGAAATCATAAAGTCATTTGAAGGTCAATGACAATCTTCTTCTTAAGTTCTTGTTAAGTTCTTGTTAAGTTGTAACCTGATCTTCATAATATTAGGACTTTTTTTCTTAGTTTTGGAAATTATCATCGAAGTATATAGTTCAATCAATTGTATCATGTACCATAACCTAGAATTATTTTTACAATTCCAGTGTATTTCCCTTTTAATTTCTTTGATCACAAATGGAATCGCCTACGATCCAAATGACAAATCGCTTAAGGATATTCTGTTACCAGAGGGTCAATTCGAGGCATTCTATTTAAAGGGATCACAGGATCAGGAACAGAACGCAGTAAGGCCTCCACATCTACACGGCTCCTTTCATCAGTACAAAAACCCTGCTCTAGTTGGCGCACCGAACAGCGCCGCCTATGGTTTTCGTTTCGATGGAAAGCGTCGTTTTAATTACAATTAGATGGATTTACGAGTTTTGCGTGGAATATCTTACAATAAAGTTCATATCACTTAAACAATTGTATTATGCATTGTTATAGATGATATTATTCATTCAATTAAAACCAAATTTCTCGATTAGATTTTCTCCAATATGTAGGAATAACAAGGAAATTTTGAAAAATGTAATGTTGTTCTCCATAGCAAATAGCAATTAAAATTGTACTAATTAGAAAAAATTTAACAAGGAACTCTTCATTTGTGCACATATATTATATGTATTTAAATTTCAATAATTTTTTCAATAATTAAAAAATTCTTTCAATAATTAAAAAACAAATTAATTATAAATCAAACTTTGTATAAACGCACATAATTATGTATCACATCGCATGTTCCAGAGTGATTTAGAGACATGTAGAATGCACAATTCATTTCGCAATAAAAAAGATACCCTGTATATTATACACTCCGTAATTTTCCAATCTTTATTTTTATAGAGACGTTATAGTGAACACTTATCTCAGATTGATTATTTTCTTATTAGAACAAGATTTTCTCGCATACTGATTCCACAGTTTCAACTTTTTACCTATCACTTTCAATTATCATTTACACATTGACGTGTTTTTACTGAATCTTTTTAATAGCTACCACTCGTTCGACTTATCACCGGTTATGGTGATATCATGACGCGATATCTTAACCGAGACAAGTACATTACTTTCGTTTCAATTAATTGGCAACGCAAACAGGTATATCTTGGAATAAGCGAGTAACTTTGGGAGTTTGGGCTTCGTCGTTTTTCGGATAAGAAATCAATGACGATGATTATGTACTTAAATAGAAAATCTCGATGGCCATTTCGCGTTCGTTCCTCTAATTAAAGTAGCTTCGAGTAGGAAAATTCACTTTCGTTGAGATTGCCGCGTTTAGTGGTGGAAATTAAGAGGCGATATTTATGATCCTCGATGTGTATATACATATATAAATGAAAGGAAAAAATATATTTTTGAATAGTGCCTTATTGGCCACAGTCTTTTAACGTTAAAACTTTTAACGTTATATTTAAACGTTATATTCGTTCGCCCAAAACTTTTTGGAATAAAATAATTTTCATTAACTTTTTTTCTTATAAAAGCTTTTTTCGTTTAGGAAATTATTGGATAAACTTGCAAGAATTTTCGATTCTGAATAATTTATTTTCATAATGCATGTCAATACGAATTTATAGGAGAAATAATTTTTTTTAAAAAAATAGTAAGTAAACGTTTAGAAGTATTTTTACATTTTTTGTTAAAAGTTCAAACAATTAAATTCGTAAAACATTTGTTATTTTTTTCAATCAAAAGAACATGATTTTAATGCAAAAGAAATTTCACATTAGAAGAATTATTTTCCAAAAAATTTTTAACTTTTTATCTTAATTAGCTTCTCATTAATTTTTAACATATCTTTACACCTTTCTTTTCTTTTTTATAACATAAATCCTTTGATATATCCAATAAATCTAATTTACCTAATTTACAAATTATCAATATTAAATTTCGTCTAACGCTTCCTGATTCTAAATATCTTCATTTTGATCATATATGCATTATGACTCGAGAGGAAGTGATAGCGTGATGCGCACCAATTCCCGGTGATTCGACGCGAAACAGCCTCTAAGATCAGTCAGTATCTCTATATTTTCCTCTTCTTCTTTTTTTCTTGTTTTATTCAAGAGAAAACCGTCGATTGTAGCAGTACCTACGCAAAACAATGTTGTCAAGTCCAGTTTAAACAGTTGCCGTACAAGTGCCTCTTTGGAAAGAGGGAAGCTTTAAAAGACGTTGCCAATGGATAGATGTCTCCATAGTAGGATCGGTGAAGTGTAGGATCTAGTTGGACGTGGTACGATCAGCGGGATGAGGATCGCGTGTGTGATCACGGTGAGTGAATTGTTACACGACGTGGTGGAACGACGAAGTGAAGGGGTCATTGTGATACGTTTGTACGAATATTTTCGAAAGAAATCGATAAAAATACGTAGATATGATCGATGACGAATGTTTGGAGAGAAGAAGATCGCAAACGAAGATGATTTTTTGACATTTTGTGTCGGTCGTGATATAAGAATGTTAGTTCGATGTATAAAAATTCGTGATTGTAAATAGTTCAATATGGTTTCGTTTCATCTTATTTATTTTTCTTTTATCTCTTTTCTTTAATTGGAGAAGAACGGGAAGATTAAATAATACTCGAAGAATTTGTATTTATAACATTGAAAAATGCTAACGGATTTTTATTCTCTTTTCATGGTTGCAGATTTGTGCCGCATTTATATCAACATTCCTCGGTGTAGAAACCGTGCATTCTGAAAGGTACGTTTCCTTTAAAAATCTTTAACAACGCATTAATCAAAAAAAAAAAAAAAAAAAGATAAAAATAAGTAAATAATATAAAACTTTATTTCAAATATAGAAAGCAAAAGTCAAAGGCCCACTTGCTACAACTCGAGTCCGTAAATAACACAAATTTCAACGTCAGCGAGATAACGTTCACAACTCTCCAACCGGAGATACAACCGGAAAAATTGTTCAACCAGCACGAAACACACTCGAATACACCAAACGCGCACAAACTCGCCTCGAAAACGAGAGGCGCGAGCAAGAAAATCTTAAGGATTCATTCGACTCGTTCGATTCAACCGCGATCGTATCCGTTGAATCGATATAAGGTGAATCGACGTCGAAGGCAGCTTCAGCATTCGGCCGCGAGAACAAAATCGTACGATATTAAGGAGAATTACGTGGAAAATCAACAATTCGAAACAATACAAGGACCCGCGGCAGCTTTCGAGGATGGATCGATTCGAATCGAGCCTATATACCGAGTGAGCAAGAGCAAAAACATCTTCGACTCGATCGTTGACGTGATTCATAAAATAATCAATCCATCGAAAGCGTTGGGCCCCTTCGTTGGACCGTTCCATTTCCCAGGCGTGGGCGACAAAGTGTACATCCGACTTTTAGAGCCGCTTAACTCGAAGCATCTGGTGATACGATTGATATCGCATTCGCCGATCACAGAAATTCAGTCGACGTTCGAGAAAAATATTCTTCCGCCCAGCGAGTTGATAGAACATCCCGAAATTTCCTCGATCGATCACGAGCCTCTTTCTCTGCCCAACAATGAACTGTTGAAATCGTACGGCCAGCACAGCGACGCAGTTCACTCGTCGGACAGTTTGCTGTCATCCAGTAACAATGAGGATCAAGTTTTAAAAGTGACGAATAATTTTGGCCAGAAAGCCAAGGGAAATAATTCCGCAGGAAAGCACAATTTGAGGACGTATAAGCTGAGTTTTAAACATGGTAACGTGAACGGTATTCAAAAAATCAGACATCATAAGAGGAATCCGTCTTCGATAACAAAAAGCAATATCAATCATATTTCTCGTACGAAGCAGGCCGGTGAAATAAATAAAACGAAAGATAATCTTCGATCGAGCAATTATCAAGAATCGTTGAATGATTCCAGCGGCGAAGACGATTCCAAGCTGTTGACCGTCGATTTCCAACAAATTCAGCATCCCATAAATGCTTCGTTCTTCGAGCAAATATCTTACAACACACCAATCACTCCGTTCGAATCATTTTCGAGCGATCAAATATTCTCGAATCCTCGAATCCCAACCTCGATCAATCGACAAGTTCAATCGTACAACGATTCCAACGAATCAACCACTCCAAAGTACAGTATCAAATTTGCGAGTAAGAACATGAGATACCTTAACCTAGACGGAAGCGTGGAGCCCGCCATTAAGAAGGACAGCGATGGCGGGAAATTCAAATCAACAGAAATGGATCCCGTCGTCTCGAAAGTGTCTAAACCTGTCGATAGCCATTGGAGAGTGCTTCGAGGCGTAAATCTACGATCGAAAGAGGCAATAGAGTCGAATAAACAGAGTCATGGAGGTTCTCGAGAAAGAAGCGATCGCAACGATGATGCGTTTTTTAGAGGCATCCCGGAGGTCTAATGATAGCGCGATGAATTATTCACGAGGAAACACAGTCGCGATAAAGGAGCAAGGGTGTTGTTTGGAAAAAAGAAATGGAAAACAAAAGCACGAGATCTGGATTCGACGAACAATGTGGAATCGAGTCGAATATAAATAATTCAGGGGAGCAGCGTGGAATCCATGTCGAGAAATGGATCGCAAAACAGTTTGAAGTCGTTGCAAGTCCATTCAGAATGATGCGTTAAAAATATTTTTTTAAACAAACAGTCTCAGTCTTTAGTATAATCTTTTAGAATTTTTACTTAGATTTATTCTTCTTTGTTATTTTGCTGTATCGCTTGTTGATTTTGTTATGATTCTTCGGTTAATAACACATTTGTTGCACAGTCATTTCTTAAGATTCTTTAGTATAATATTAACTTAATTAATATGAATAGTGAAATCAATAAAAATGTCAATTTAAGTGTATTAAAGTAAATAAAAAATTGGCGCCATTTATTGTGAACAATTATAATTATAATAAGAATAGATAGACTATAAATATTTTTGTTAAAATAAAATTTTGTCAAAAAATAATTGATTTGATATTGTTTTATTATTTATCCAAAGAAACTGTTGTATATTTTAAATATAGAATATTAATCAGATATTAACCATAAATTATAATTTGCTCAATATAAACTGTTAGAATAACATTTTTGCTGATTGTAGGTTTATTTGGAACGTGAAGCTCTTGAAATATTGAACATAATAAATTAACGTGCTCTGATTATTTTAAACAGTGGATCCGTTTAGTTGAAATCTCTCTAGAAGCGTGTAAAATTTATAAAAAGGTTAAACTTCGAGAAAATCAATCTATTCTGAGAAATGAATTAATCAGAATGATTCTAAAAAAAAAAAAAAAAAAAGCGATCGAAATTTATGCGTGATTATGCGATTAGATTAAAAAATTCATCAATTATTTCTTACAATTCATAAATATTTTATATTATTATTATTATTATTTTTTAACATTTCACACTCGATTAATATTCTAATTATCTCATAATTCAATTATTATGCATCACAGTAAAAAGTAAACACTTTGTTTTTTTTTTTTTTTTTATCTTTTACTTTCTATTTCACGGACAATTTTCACTATTAATTGACCAGATGTATATGTAAATTGATTAAAACTTTCTTAATAGCTTTGATAATTCATTTTTTCACGGTCTAACTGTAATACAATTGTATTAAAAGAGTAACTTATGCGCGACCTGTTCATAATAGGATTACACACGATGGAAAGCGAAGCTTTTTTGTTTCATTCGATCTTGGTGGAACGATCAATTGCCACATTCTTCAGAATCACTTTCTTCATAAAATTATTTCATGCAATTCCAACACGCAATATCAATTTCTCGATTATTTATACAAATATTTTTTTAGATATTATCTCCCTTTAAGAAAGATTAGAAAATTGATTATCGGTAATGTCTGTATCTCGTGACTCGTTTTATACGTGACGTATCCGAATAGAAAGATAAGATTAATATATTTATATCAAGAATCGTGAAAAATATAATTAAACGCTATTCGATTTATGTATTAATCGTTTCACTCGTGTACATAATTAATACAATGTGTGATTTATCATTTTTACGAAACTTTTCCATTTTTAAAACGTTTTCCTCTTTTTATTTATGATTTCAATCTCTTTATTCTGTTCAAAGAATCGAAACTATCGAACGCTTTATAAGCGTTAATCTTATAGCTTACAAGTTAAGCAGCCAATTTTGTTGAAAGATTTATATATATATATGTATTATAACATTCCATATGTATAAATGTTAGTATTTTATTGCATATTAACTTTCAGTAGTAATAATTCTGTAATAATAATAAGAAAATAAGAAAAAATTTTTATTAATATTTTCTCTTATAATATATTGCAATTAAAGATAGTTTTAATTAGTAATTTACACAACAGAAGAAACAAATTCAGTCAATTAAGATATTCGATAATGAACTAGTTAGAATTGTTTTTAGATTTAAAATATGTTTTTCTGCTTGTTTCCAATCCCGTTAATGATCTTTGTTCATTAAATAAAAATGCGTATGTGCCACGGATCGAACAATTCTGATTCTCGGTTGGATGCATCTCGAGGAAATACTCCTCCGTTTCCTGAATGCAGTTCTTCGATCGCTTGTGCGCGGTTAGAAACTCTTTTATTATCTCGAAGAGCAATTTCTTGCTTGCAAAATAAATCGATATAGTTATTTGTGATTTTGTGAGAACAATTAATATATTTTGTGATATTCGTGTGTATATTTCATAGTGAAGAAATATAATAATTTTTAAAATACGATATAATTATAGAAAATTATAAAGTATATATCAAAATAATTAGAAGAAAAATAAATTATTTATTGATCTTTTACATTTAATTTTCAATTAATTATTATATTTTAATAAAAAAAAAATTAAACAATAAGTGAAATCGTTAAATTTTAAAGTATCATCAGAAAAAATATGATTTTAATATTAATAATGGCGATTATCTAAATTAGAAAACATTTAACTGATTTGAATGTTATTAATGAATACAAATTTCAATAATTAATAAAAAAAAATATTTTTCTAAAAAAAAAAAAGATAGAATTAATCTTGAGTGAATTAATCAGTTTGCAATCAGTTCGAAAAACTAATCCAAATATAAAATATGAATTACTTTATGTATAATTAATTACAAAATACACTAAAATTTAACAATCAATTTTGAACGCAAAGATTCATATTTTCGTTAACCTATATAATTAATTATATAAGAATTTTTTGAAATAAAAACATTATTCACGTAATTATGAAAATGATTAGTTTTATTTTTTGATATGTCATTCATAATTCGAAAATAATCGATTTGATTTTGTTATTTTATTTGAGATAATTATTTTAATTTAAACGACAATTAAAGACTAATCGTAAGAAATTACAGGATTTCTAAATTGATATCCATTTTAATAGAAAATTGCATCGATGACAGGTATCGTATTAAGTACCAACACCTCGGGCATAATGGCGTGCAAGACAAACTCTCGTCGATCGATTACTCGGTACAGTAGAAATTCTTACGCATGTCTCGCATGATAACAAGCGCAGACACAGTGATGTCGATTGTTTGGTGAAAAGCAGAAAAGTGAAAAGAGAAGAAATACGAAAACGCATCTACCAGGATCCCTGCACGTTGGGCGGAGTTTCTCAGAACATTTTATGGAGACGATTCGCCTCGCTAATTTCAGCTGCATGTATATAAACGTTAGATTTGTTGCGATCGTGAGCAGAGATTGTCCGTTTCTCAAAGCTTCCAAACGGTTAAATATCTTTGCTTTGGCAAAGCGTTAAATTTTCTCATTTGTCCAGAATGAAAGGAATATTTTTGGTAAGGGACGAATGAAAGATCACGATTTTTCCCTGATTTCATTCGACAAATTTATTTTTATTCCAAGACATTTATTTTCCTTTTCTCGTACTTTTCAGTATGCTATTGCTTTATTGGCGCTGTTCTCGCTGCTACAACAACCAATCGAATCGTGAGTATCTGAATGTCGTTGTTTTAATCGTACGTATATTAATTTACTCTTATTTTTATGTAACAGGAAGAAGGTGATTATCCATGTTCCTTATCGAGTGAAGAACGTGAAGCACGTACACACGATTTACAAAATCATTCCTCATTATCGCGAAGACAAGAAGGAAGATTTGGAGGAGGACGATAAATATGAAATTTATTAGAAATAATTTTAATTATAAGTAACATAACATAGTACATAATATAAAATTCAACCCAACGAATATAGTTAATAGAATTCAAAAGTATTCAAATATATATAATAGCTGGTAGATCTGAAAAGATGTTTTAGCAATATTTTTTTTGTATTAACGAGTTTATTTAAAGAACAAATGTATCTATTTTCTGTAAAATCAAGTTAAATTAAAAATTACAAGAATCGTCAAACTGCGAAAATTCGTAAATTTCCTTGCAATTAAATATAAAATACAATATAATTATAAACAATTAAACACTATGTAAACATTATGTAAAATGTTTAATGTATTTAATCTCATTTTTTTCCAACAAAGAAGAATAAAAATTTTCAAGAAAACTTTATTTTTATAAAGACATTTCTATAATTATTTTTTTTTTTACACGTTTACGTTAAGATAAACGAGCAAAGTAAAAAAAAAAAAAAATATAAAATACAATACGATAATTATAAACAACTAAACAGGTTATGTAAAATGTTTAATATATTTAATCTCATTTTTTTCCAACAAAGAGGAATAAAAATTTTCAAGAAAACTTTATTTTTATAAAGACATTTCTATAATTATTTTTTTTTTTTTTACACGTTTACGTTAAGATAAACGAGCAAAGTAAAAAAAAAAAAAAGAAATAGAGAAGCAACCGCAACAACGATCACGAGCATCAATAACCGCGTTTATTGAACAATAATCCTCCTTCCGGCGTGGCAATGACCTTACCACCGATCACGTTGACACATTTTTCCAAAGGCGTGCCATTCGAAGCGGATTGGCAGACGGAGCATATCTCGAAACGGCGAAAGTGGTTGATCGTCCGTAAAATTTCCATTATAATCTCGCAATTTCATAGTATCCACCGTGATAGAGGGCGGAATATAAACGAGGAGCGTCCTACGAGATTGCCAAACGAAATTGAACCACTGATCCCGACGTTTCATTTATCTTGCTCTCCTCCACGAGAAGCCATGGTGACGAAAAAATGGGTAATTAAAACTACACCAATTACAAAATTACTCCACAATAATATATATAAATAATAAATACGAAAAAAAAGTGTAAACAATTGATAACAATTTCCAATCGATACATTTCTTTTCAACAGCAACTCCTCAACTACTTGTCCTTCCTTCTGCTGAACCAACCGACAATATACGGGGTAACTTCGAAACAGTAAGTTCTCTCCTTTCCAATAATCCATCCAACACTGTCTCTTCTTCTTAACTTCGACGATATCGTATGATATCGTTCCCCGCTTTCTCCATTCACGTACTCTCGTTTTCTCGCCGAGTGCTCACTCCCTTTCCCTCGTTTCCAGCCTGCACCTGAAGATCCTCGTGCCGGATGTGATCAACCACCACACTCACACGAGGACGGTGCTCCTCCACGTCCACGTGCCGACACCTAAGAAACCGAGAACGTACAAGAAGCACGAGTACAGCTCGAATTGGAGCTCGTGGAGCCGCGGCCGTTATCACAATCACAGGGACGAGTACGGCGACCACGAGCTCGATCACGAGAATTATCACGACGAGAAATCGGGCAGAAATGGGAAACGGCCGGAGGATGATAAACGGCGCAGGCAGAAGTATTTCCCCGTCTACGATTATCACAAAGAGTATCCCTCGTCCTACGATGCGGATGGCAACGATTTGGAGGAGAAGGATCGGAGTCGTGACAGTTACGCGGTGCACGAAGACGTGAACGACATACCGCCAAATACGGAGACGGTGTCGTATAATTACGAGGAAGGGTATAGGAAGGGGGGAGAGGTGGAGAGTGGGCATATTCGAGCGGATCAGACGCGCAAGTTTCACGAAGATCATCACGAGGAGCAGGGGGACGCGGAGAACGATGGCTTCAAGGACGAGTTTGAAACGAAGACGGACGCCGGAAGGTATTTGGTCGACGACGTGGAGTACGAGAACACTAGGGATAAACGTCATCATGGTCGAAGGGCGAGAAAGATTCGTAAAAGCGTTGATGAGAATGTGTAAGAATTCTTTAAGAAGTTTCTTTTTTTTTTTCTATTAAGTTGTACAGTTTTGTTTATATGTATATGATTTGATCAATTGATTCTATTGGTTTGAGATAAGTAAACAGAGAGAGAGAGAGAGAGAGAGAGAGAGAGGAAATAATAGAAAATGGGAAGTGATCTTTCAGGTACACACGCAATTTAATCAATCTTTCTCACGACATAATTATACATTAGATTCATTCGAACCGCGATATATTATAATAGGGATAACAATATTAAGAAAATACGAGTAATAATATTTACATTAACAAGTTACGAACGATGTGACGAATAATAGAAAGACTAGGACGAGAGGTAAGTGGCAGAATGATAAAAAGTCGATTGGCATTCCATGGAAAACGTCAGTCAAAATGTGAAAAAAAAAAAAGAAAATGAAAACAGCGATTAAAATATCTATCTAAAACGTTTTCCTTTAAATGTGTGAATATGAAAGTATGCGTATGGGTCTTTGAAGCGCGGCAATTTCAATATACTTTCTAATAAAAGCTTCTCGAAAATGGAAGCTTATATATATATACATATATATTCTAATTTTCTTCTTTTTGTTGTTCATTTTCTAATTTAAAATCTCATAAAAGAGTCATATAGCGAAAGTTGGATAACAATTATATGCTTGATAATCATCGCCACCATTGGAAGGTTTCTCTTAATCACCAAATATTTTTTTTCTTATCCTCGAGAAGATAGAAAGAAAATTTCTCTGATCGTTTCTTACTGATTGAATCTAAAAAAAAAAAAAAAAAAAAAAAAAGAAACTTAACGAAAGAATCGAGAAAATTTTCCTTTTCCACAACTATACGAAAATAGGAAAAACGCGCTTCGAACAACCAATCGAGCTTTTCCAGAGAAAACTACCGGTTCTCCTCCCAAAATTGGCACGAGCCGTTCTCGTTAATGGCCACCCCAGTCTTCGTGGCCTCCTCCAAATCCACCGCCACCAATACTGCCTCCGTGGCCTCCACCGAATCCTCCACCGCCCCCATAGCCTCCGCCAATATCACCGCCGCCATATTCGATGTGGCCGCCACCACCGCCGCCGCCGCCGCCGCCACTGTATTCAATATGGCCGCCGCCGCCGAAGTCGCCGCCACCTCCCAAGTCGTGGCCACCACCGCCTCCGAAATCACCACCGAAACCACCGTGGCCACCTCCCAAATCTATGGGGTGACCGACCGTGTACCCTAGCACCTCGTATTTGTCACCACCTCCGCCACCGTGATGGATGTGCTTGGTGATTGTGTGCGTGTGATGGATGGTCTTGATCTTGTAGGGCACGTGGATCACCACGTGATCGCTGAAAATTTTATTTGAATTATTTCAGGTAAAAGAAAAATGAATGAACGATGTTTAAAAATGAAGATCGTTTACGGGGTAATGTGATATTAATGTGTATTAAAATTTTACATGGAATATTGAAAAAAATCTATCACGTATTTTTTCACGATCAAAAGATGGATGTATATAGTCTTTCTTCGATCCGATAATAAAATGATTATTTTCTCCGTCTTCGAGTGACATTTAATAATAGACGAGAAAAGTTTTGAAACTTTCTTTTCATTTTATTTGGAATGTTAATTAATAATAAAAGAAGAGAGAAATAGAAATTTCATTATCGTTGGGTATACTTTTTTGGTTATTTTTAATCGTTGGTATGAAGAAATCTTTAGGGAGAGATTTATCTCGCCGTATCGAAACTTATAAAAACTTATATATAGAAAATTAATTTTGATTGACATATTATATTTTATATCGATTATATATCTTGTAAATGATAAACGTTAAAATATTAACTCGAAAATGAATTGTCTTTCAATTAATTTTTTGTCAATTTCGACACGGACGATCGTGCGCGTAATGACGCAGAAACGACGCTTCCTGAATCATTGGATAGGAAAGAACGAATTTATTTTTACATTCGATAATGGTTGTTGGAGGAAAATTGACCATCGATAAGCAAAATATCTAGAGAAAGTCGTGACGCGTGGGTCGACTTCATGGTTCGTTACTTTGATTTATGATTGCGAGTAGATAGCTACACTTCCGCTTGATTATAGTAAATGGCAAATAACCGTGGACGACGTTATTGCATATGGACATAAAAGAAACTCACTGTCCACCATGATGTCCTGCTGAAGCCAAATTGAGCAAAGAGGCAACCACAAAGACGGCCTGAAAAAAAAAACCTCGATTTAACCAGTGTAGAAAATTTCTGAATATTACCATTAACATGCAAAATGTATATCGTGTATATCGAGAGAAATTTAAGCGAATTTAAATTGCTACTAGAATTTTCTTTTTTAAACGAACATCATATTTGCATAGAGAAATTTTAATACGTGGAATTTTTTCTGCAATGATCTAGTAATACATGAAATTTCGTCTTTTATCTTCATTATTGTAATTCGGATTCAATTATAAGAATTCTCTAACATTCTCTTAATAGAACAATTCTTTTGAGAAAGTTTCTCAAGAAAATTTTTAAATTTTTTCTAATAAAACAATTTTCTCAAAATTCTGTATTTTTTAGTTAAAAAGAATTGTTAAATTTTATTATTCATACTTTTTCTAGATCTCTAAAAAAATTCTTATAAAATTTTCTTACTTTATTTAAAAAGTAAAAGACACTGGGAATTTTTTTTTAAGTAAAAGAATTTTTTCAAAACTAGAAATAAGAAAAACATTAATGAAATTTTTTATATTGTTAATTTTTTTCTTTTTATTAAATTTTTATTTAATATACTATTTAAATTCAAATCTCGTATATAATTCAAATCTTGAACTTGAATTATATTAATCCAATATAAAATATTCTATTCTGCATCCTCCAAATAAAAATAAATACCAAAAATTTCGCTAAAATTCACTTTAGCAATCGATTTATCCAAAGTGATTGTACATCTAAAATTTTTCACACTTTCATTCTTTGCATAAAATTTATTTATCCCAAATTCAATTATTCTCTTCGAATTTACGCAAAACGTCGTTTTTCTAATTTTTACAAATCAAATTACCAATAATTCGCCAGAGGAAAGAAAAATCTTTTCAAATTTCCCGCGCAACCTTTAAATCGAATTTCAAACCGAGAATTAACTTACCGCGAGCTTGGTCATCGTGTTGATCTCCTCTGGTACCCGTTTCTTTAGTTTAAAGACCAGCTCGAAGCGAATAATTCGAGGAAAATAATAGAGGCGTAAGAGAACGAACGACTACCGGTTCCTTCTTCGCGATACAGTTGGCGGTTTCAACCGCAGTTTTGATCTGCTGACGGTTGTGCACACGCTCGCCGCTTTTATACATGTACGTGATTGGAGTTGGATAAGAATGAAAGGGAATCTTTTGCAAGCGTAAAACTGATGCACGTGAAAGGAGCCGTCTAATAGAGAAGACGTGGCAAAAAACGGAGGACCAGCGCACCCCCTCCACCTAAGTTATCTACCCTTCACCTCGATCCCATCGTTTTGTTCATTTCCTCTTCTAGACGTTCCTAGATCTGTTTCGACACACCTTGCGTCCCCACCGCCTTCCTCACCGCCTTTGCCACACAGTGTACTGTGGTCTTTTTAATGAAAGCTGGACTTGGTTGGGTGAACGGCCAAGATCAAGATCACCGTCGTAACACGACGAGGTGGGTGCACTCGCGGTTTGTTTCACTCGTTTGGTTGACGTCTGGGATGATTCATTTTTACCGATCGAGGAGAGAGACGATCGAAAGCAATGGATATAGATAGATGACGATCGAACAGATGAGGTTATGTTACGTGAACCGTAAAATTTTTCCGTGTTTTCGAGTGTTTTATTCTTATTTTTGTTTCTTTTTTTCTCTTTTTAAAGATTATTTTGTTTTTTTTTTCTCTTTTGGATAGATTTTGTTTTTGAGGTTAGTTTTCTGAGATTTTCGATCTTCGTGGAGAAATTTTTGATTTACGTGAGGTTTGCAATGAAATTTATCGTGTTCTTTGGATTTTGAGATTTTGGAATGATAAGATTTGGAAATTTGGAAGATTTGAAAAGATTGTTACATTTTTATAGTTTGTATTTGCTTCTACAAAATTAAAATTTTTTTTTTAGTCCTCTATCTTTATGTATAATTGTTATATCAATGTTCATGATATTATATCTATTTTGTATTTTAAAACGTTCAAAACAGTGAGTTCGATTATTCCTGATATTAAATTTTCTTTTCAGATTATGTTAATCACCAATGATTTAATTAAAATTTAATATAATTGATTTAATTAATTTAAATAAATTTTGTGATAATTGTGATTAAACAATAATATATTTGTTATTTAAATCTTTGTATTTTAATTATTAATTTTCAAATTCTTCGAGAAAAAATTCTTTAATATTGAATCAACTGATTTATGACTATTTATTCATTTACACATCAATTTGCACGCAACTTTTAGAATGTGTTTATTCACAGGATATTAATTAAAATTCATAGGAATAATAATTCATATAAGAGATAAACATATTTTCGTACAGTAAATGTCTTAAGCAATGTCTTAAGCTGCTGCATAAAATATTTTATTATTATTCCATCAAAATGAAATGTGTTCATTAATCTCATCTTAACTATATAATAAAAATAAATTATCTTAATTGATAAAAGGAATACCAGCTAAATTATTCGCCATTATAATACATCATGGTTTCATTTATTTATAATTCCTGAAATCTACGAAATCATCTCGCATTGTCTTATCTCTTTATTATATCTCTCTCTTTAATCTCAATTAAAAACTGCGACTTCGTGTCAGTCATATAAATTAGTCTCGAAAATTTGCATAAGAATGCAATATTTTATTCAATTGTTTCAATTTCGAAATCAGAAACATATTTAAATACAAAATATTTGTAACAAAAATTCAATCAATTGAATTTATTTTAATCTCATATAAGTGCACAGCGAATTATTATATTGTTAATTATCATAAAATAGGATAGATAATTTGAATAAATAAATACATGGCTCCATTTGTAGCAATTTATGAATTTATTGTTTTTGCACTCATTTTAGCTTTTAAAAAGAAAATTGCAATAGAAAATATATTAACAACACACAAATAGTAATTCAAAAATATATTTTTACTATAATTCTATATATTTTATACAGAAGAATAGCATAGAATCTTATATTAAAAACATTCTAAATTCAGAAAGAGAAGATTAATTTAAAAATAATTTATTAATCTAATAAATTTATAAACTCGAAGCAAGCAGTAAAAGAAATTAATTAAATGACTTAAATCTTAGTCATCTTAAAAAAAATTTACAAGACAGTAACTAATCAACTGATTAAGAAACATGCAATTGCACATAAAGCAATAATTAATCACTTCATGGTTCATCAATTGATTCGTTATAGATAAACTTAATTTATTATTTAATTATTACAACTTGTTCTATGCTTTCTTTAAGCTGTATTGATGCATCCTTAGTGTTTGCATAAGTGACTTTTAAAAATATAATTATTATTAAAAATATAGTATTATTGCTGATGATTTAAAATCTACTTAAAGTTACATCTCCAACTATAATGATCAACAGCAATACCAAGTATAATATGATAATAATAATAATTTAATTAAAAGAATGAAAGTTGACACTCTTTTATATGTCTCCACTATTAAGATGCAGTAATTGCGCGTTTTAACAATTGATTTAATTGACGAATAGAATCATCAGTTGTCATAAATTGCCAACTTTTATCTAAATGTTTATACATGTTCCATGTGATGCTGTTACTATAGTAGATAACCGATGTGAACTTGATCTTAAACTTGATCTTGAGCAAAAGGATTGCATGGTCAAGAGTGTACAGTCGATGGAATCAATATTATAATATAAGAGATGTATTTGTATGAATATAATTTCATTGCTAGAAAGATATAACTTTATGTATTGAAAATTGTTTATAAATATTATTTGAATATATTTGCATACATTTAAAAAAAAATATTACAAAGAAAAGAAAAAGTTCTCTTTGGAACTCTTTGATTTATTTGATTCTCTGTCATTAAATTTGTTATTCTCTGTCATTATTTGTTAAATTTGAATAATATTATAATAAATATTTTCATATTTCATATATTAAAATTTCTTTTTTATGTCGTTTTTGGCTATATTTAAAATTCAATAACTTGAAATAAAATCTTACAGCAAGTTTTTTACGAGTCGATAGTGGATTCAGTTCACGAAAAAAATTTTATTTACAGTCCATTGAATTTTTCCAATTTTTCCCAAAGAAAAGTATCTTTACTTTTTTATTTGCTACACGATGCAAAAAACTCAAGACAGTGAAAGTAAAGATTTCACGCTTTGAAAATCGAATTCAGATTGTTCTTTTAAGGATTCATAATAATTTTAAAAAATAACGGGAATTTTTCACGGAAATATCGGCTCCCCGCAATAGATCTCATAGAATCAAAGTACAATATCGAGGGCAAGGTATTTTCAAGATTCTTTGTCGGAGAAAATGTATCTCTTTCCCCGAGTTGGAAGTTTCTTCTCGAGCAATGGCGTTTTCGTTTCACCGGGGCAGGTGTTTCCTTTCACGAGACCGGGTATCCATCCGAGTTCGAGAATGAATCCATAGAGGGAGGATCCATAGAAATCGTGGCCTGTAAATCGATCCATCTGTTCTAGGATCGCGTGCTCCCGTGCTCACGATCACAGAGAAAGGGAAACCGATCGTCTCGCCTCGTAAAATCGGCCCACACTCGGATTGCGCGGTGCGCGCATTCCGATGGCGGAGCGAAAACAAAAACGAGCAACGAGCGTTATCCTTTTTTTTCTCGAGGATCGCGGAACCGTGACAGTGAAATCTCTATCCGAGGAATTCGATTCTAGAAACAAGGAAGGTTAAGGCGTGTTTAACGATCCGTGAAGTTTTTCGAAGTATTTGTGAACGAGTTCGAGAGTTGTGTCACCCATGTATCGAATAATCCTGTTCGAAATTTTTTTTTTGGACATTTTTTTATTGGGACAGTTCGAAGTATTCGAAATGAAAAGTATTCTAATTAAATAATATAATTAGATAGATATATTAGTAATTTTTTAGTGTCATTACTAGTAATATTACTAGTAGTTATTACTAGTGATATTACTAGTAATTTTTTAGGGTTATTATATCAATGTAAGTATCACTCGAAGAGCTTGATAAAAATTTTTAAAAGAATTTGTTAGGTTTACTTTATTGTTTTAATATTTTTTAACGTCTCTTGAATTCTTTTTGTTCAATTATATGATCATCAGTAAGCTTTAAAGAGTTATTGTAAAGGGGAGATTTCAATTTTCAAATCTTGTATGGGTTTAGTTATTGAAAAGAATTTTTCAGTATCTTTACGTATAATTGATTGAGTTTTTTAAATTTTTGAGAGGAAAAGTATCTTTGCTTTTCTATTTGTTGCACGATGCAAAAACATCTTTGAAGAAAACGAAGTCAGAGCTGTGAAAGTAGAGATTTCATTTTAAAACGAGTTCACACTGATTCTGGTACGGTCTTTTTTTTACGAAATTATAATAATTATGAATATCGTTATAATATAATTATAATGATAATATAATAAAGTTACAAGATAGAACCAAGCATGAAAAAATAATAAAAAAGATATAAGGATCTATAGACTTTGCTCTTTTCAAAAACAAAATTATTGATCATGTGATACCAATGATAAGAAACAGATTTGTTTTATATTGATTATTGAAAAATTTGCAAAGTAAATAAGATTTTGATTAAATATCAATATTAAAACAAAAATTCAAAAAAACTCATCATTAAATTTCAATAAATTGCAAATAAAATTTGAAAAAAATTCACTATTTAGAAAACATCAACAACTAATTATCAAAAATTGTATCAATCAGCTATAACAAAATATTCTTCTTAAAAGATTTTTTTGTAATTATCATTCTTCAGAAACTTCATTCTCTTTCTCATTTTTCTTGACGTAACAAACCGTTTAATTAAACAAAGCTCGCGTGAAACTTCCGAGTTAATAATATGCTTGCTTTACAATGCCAAACCACGTGAAACCAGGAAGTTACTCTCTCTCTGTGAATCACGATTGCTTCTTCTTGTGATCCTTTTATCGCATTTCTAGCAAGATGGACGAATCATTCGTCGAGGCCGATAGAAAGTAACAGGATCAGCAGAAAGGACCTTGATCTTCGATTCATTAAACGGTCGTTCGCAGAGTGAAAATCTTTCACTCGATGGAATTCAAGTGTAAATCAATCAATACATACTTTGAGGTTATGGTTCCCCAATATCTATAATACTTTAATATTTTAACGTAGCATTTTATAACTATATTTTTAAATTTAATCGATGTTACGTTGTTTATAATATTATTTGATATATATTATTAGAATATTGTATTTTTATTTTATATAGTGTGCATACGTATATTTTATCTATATGTATCTTATTTATATATTGTATTATTTGTATTTTATAGAGTATTTTACATTTTCTAAATTTCTTTAATTTGAAATTCGCGCCATTCGATGTTATATCGTTCATAATATTATTCGATAATGGAACATTGCGTTTGTAAATAAATTAACATATAGTAAATAGTTTACGTAAATAGTTTAGCATAATGAATTCTTAGATTTCTCTATTAAAGTCATTTACTCTCTCCGAGAAATTCGTGTCTAGGTATAAATTTACGAAGAATTCTTATAAATGATTCTTTACTTTCGTGCTTGTTTAAATCGTGCACGATTATCAAGTATAAATTATTTTCATTTTCTTTCTTTTTTTTTTTTCCTTCTTATAATTTATAATCCGTTGAACTCGTGCTTATTTTGTATTTATTTTGTAAATTTAAAATATAATATAACGTAAAAGAAAAATTATTTCTTTTGTTCTAATTTTTAATCATTAATTAGTCATATAAATAAAGATGAAATAATTTTTTAATTTATATAATTGATAATCGTTATTCATCATAAATATTGTGCATGTATATATATAAATGTAAAAATATATCATACAATAAAATTTACATAAAAAAAAAAAAGAACAATTTTCAAATAAAAAGCATTTTTACATCATCGTGAAATTTCAATTATGTCACTGCTTACATCGTGTCGTCTCGATATAATTAATCAAAAGATATCTCTCTTAGCAGTAAATTTCTACAACGTCTGTCTCAACGATGGCTCAAGGTTATATGCTCCATCAAGATTTTACTTACTTAGATGGAAGATAGTCATGCAAGAAGGAGGAGAGATTCTCGAGGAGAAGAGAAAGTGATCGTTCACAATATGTGTAATTCTTAAATCGATATTACTTCTTCTTTAGATTTCACTATTACCGCATTATCAAGTACTGATAAGCACGTACAGACTTCATCGTGTTATTAAAGATATATATGTATGTATTTTAACAATTAAGCAAATTGCTACTAATCAATTTCCTTCCTCTTTAAATTAATCGTATTTCTCTTTTTTTTTTTTTTTTGGAATTAATATTACTCCTTGTTCGATCATAACAGAGATTTCTACGATTTTTTAATCACAATCGAGAAAATATCAATCTACGAGACTTTCAATATTATCACTTTCACTCATTTATCATTTTTTTTTTTTTACCTGCAATTTAAAAATCGCATAATTTTGACGAATAGGTTTTCTTCTTTTGGAAACTTGAAAAGCAGTTTGTAACAGGAATAAATTAAGTTAAGATTTTTATTTCATCCAGTTGTATCTCCCACTCTGATTAGCATGTGTGATGATTAACATATGTGAACACGAAATTAGAGAGTAGACATAATACGATATAAAAGAATAGACGAAAGAAGAATTCAGTGAAAAATTCGTTTCTTCGAGTGGAGACGAGAGAAGAACGATGATATTTCATCCATTACAAATCAGAGAATCGGATTGATATATAATTCTCTTTTTTCTCGACTTTGTTTCTTACTTCGATTAATATAGGCATAGAACTAGTTCCATGAATTATGTGAGAGTAAACGTTAGCTGCTTGAAATGCGATAGGGATGCATACGAAAGTAGGTGATTGAATCTGATTTCTCAATGGAATTCTCAATTCTGACTTGTCATCTTGAACAATCGAAATCATTCTGAAATTATCCAAAATTAGCTCGAACCTTCTTGATGATTAACATTAATCATTTATTTTATTCAAAAATAAATCAACTAATAAAAAACTATCCATATTTTATATCCATATTAAATACACATTTCCTTCATTAAAAGGAAATCTAACAAAATTTTTTACGAATATGATTAGAAGAAACGAAGCTTAAATAGAGATTTTCTTGATTCTTCAAACATGATAATATAATATAATCAAACCCTCATTCGTGGATCCACATTTTCCTTGTTAACAAAAAAAGAAAGCTAACATAGTCTTGTGGCTATGCATCTAAGTACAATTATATTATCTTACAATTATCTACAAACACCTTCAAATAAGATTTTCTTGATTCTTCAAACATGATAATACAATATAATCAAACCCTCATTCATGGATCCTCATTTCCTTTACTTAAAATAAAAAAATCTAACGTAGTCCTAAATACAATTATTCATAAACATCTTCAAACACCTTCAAACATCTTCAAACATTTTCAAACACCTTCAAACACCACAATTCCCACGAAATCCATCATTAACCTTGATGCCCATTTACCAGAAGTTCAAGGATATCGACTCGACCAACCTTCCCACGTTCTTGAACCCGTACAATTCTCTCACCACGACTCCTCCCCTCCCCTCCCCCCTCGATCAATCCTGATCAAACAATCCTCTCCATACATCTCTCACTCTCGAATATGTAGAACGGCCGATTCTCCTTGTTCTTGTTTTGGAAAGCGCGGGGCGCGGCCGGACCGCGGGTGAACGCCTAGAGAAGAGAAGAAAGTGTCGATTTCCCCGTGAACAAAAATTGCCAGAGGCACGCTCGGCCGTCCGTTTCATATCGGCACGCCGATCCATCCACGGCGGCCGCCGATCTCTTTCCAGGAGATGGAGCTTTGCCGGTGGGAGGTGCACGCGCTCGCCCAACGCCGATTATGCTCTTTTTATCTTGTATAAAAGAGAACAATCGTGCACGAGACTCCCGCAATTTGTTCGCACCCGTTCCAGAGACACACCGGAGAGGCAAAGCCGCGGGTTTCGTTGAGAGCGCGGCCGATCCACTGCCGCCATTTTGACCGCCTCAACCTTACCCTCGAATCCCTGGGCCACGAATTTCGTCTCTCGACTCGAACGAATTTGTCTTCGCCGAGGCGTTGTCGCGTTGAGGAAGGAGTTTTGGCAACATGAGGTATTCGGTAAGTGGAGTGTTTGGTTTTTGATTAGAGAAATGATTCGTTGGAGGAGGGATTTTATATTATAATATATAAAAGGATTTTAATTTGGTTAATTTTGTAGCACGATTTTGATACGAGCATTGCCGAGTAATGGTATAAGAGTAATTAATAATGTAATTACGAAAGGAAATTCAAAAAGATATTTTGTACCATAGCTTTGTGTCGAGACATTATTATATTATTATTGATTCGAATACTATCGAAGAAGTAACATTTGTAACATGAGATATTCGATATAAATGGAGTTTCATTAGAAAATATTCACACAATTTAGAGTAAATTGTTATTACAATTTTAAATAAATTGTAAAAGTCTATCAATCAACCCTTGCATTCAGATTTTATTGATAGTTATTGATTCAAGAGAAACTGCAATATTTGGCTCTTTGAAAAGAATTTGGAATACATTAGATAATATTTATGCGAGGAATTTTGATATAATTAATGTTGAATTAAAAAAAAAAGAATTTATAATAAAGTTCAACATGTATGGAAAAGAGTTTAAATAAAATTGTAATAAAAAATAAAAAGATATGAGTGCAAAATTATTTAATATTCGTTGATTCGATGATTGATTTGTTTATTTTATTGTGTTAAGTAAATTAAATTTTCTTTTTAATCATAAAAGGATATTAAACATTTATTATTACGAAAATTAATACGTAATAAATGCTATAGCGAACGTGTCAAATTTATTAGAGTTTTGATAAATAATAATTGTATAATTAATCCTAAGAAAACATTATGTTTGTATTTTTTTATTTAAAGAATTGAATATATTTCTAAAAGAAGTTTTGATATAATTTCAAAGATTAAACATTCTTTGATTCAAAAAATTCGTGCAATTTATAATTGTATGTTGTAAGATACGTATTCGATAGAAATTAATATTAAATGATCAAGTAATGTAATTCAATTAACATCATTTTATAATTTCTCTCGTGAATCGATGCAACGAAGATTTAAAATTCTTAAATTATATTAGATGTTTGATTATTGAATTATGAAGTTATAAAATTGAAGAAAATTGAATTGATATAAAATATTGAATCGACTCGAAAGAAAATTGAAAAATTTAATTTAAATAATTACGAGAAACAAATTAATTTTCGATGAAAGTCATATCATCAAACAATCGACAAGTATTATTTATTTTTTCACTTTAACATTGGAGCTTTCTGTTACGAACAGATTTTCAGAAGCAACAAATACCAATTGGCTGATTTAAACATCCGAGAGTTTCTATTCAAATAACAATCTTTATTCAAAAATTATAATTATTAAACTTTATTGATAAAAGAAAATTAAATAAAATTATATATTTACATGCTGCATAAGAAATTTTTATTTCCAAGCACATTTTTTCATCCCAAAAATGCAATAAAATTATATTTTTGCATTGCATGAAGAAGAAGAAAATTTCTTGCAATTGTATTTTATGTTATATTCTATACTCATATTTATTAAAATATATCTCATTCAATCTCTAATCCGTGTTTACAGGCTTTTTGCATGTTGCTGCTAACGAGCGGGCCTCTAATCACTTATGCGTAAGTATTCTTGCAAATTGAATGTAATTCTCGTTATCAGACCGTATCAAATTCTAAACTTTTCTTTGTAACGCGATTTACGAATGAGCTACCGTTTCGAATAACTTAAATCATTTCGAAGTTTATTTATTTATTGTATGTAACAGCAAAGGAAAATATAAATAATAATTATAATTTAAAATATAAATTATAATATACACAAAACTTATAAAATAATAGAAAAAATAGAAATAGAGTCAAAGTTGATGCAAAGGTGCAGAACTTTAATCTGAATTGACTGAATACTCATAAAATTTTCGATACAGTTATTTTATTAAATAATATTTCAACAAAATTTGTTTATTTCCACAGCAACAAGGTAGTACTGGTGATTCCGCAACAGACGAGACGCATGTATCATGGTGGTTTGGGACCATCGTGGCAGCCACCGATGCCACGTTTCAGAAAATCGTCCCTCGGTAACGAGGTTCATTACCAAAAGTATCATCATAGCCCTCCTGCACATTATTTCCCGAAGAAATCTATGTATAGAAGCCCTTCGTTCCCTCACGGAGGAGATGACTTCGATCAAGGCTACGAACACGTTAATCACGTGCGTATTCCATATGGAAAGGACATCAGCCATGCCATTTCGTTTGGAAAAGGTTACATCCCTTATGATAAGATCAAAGGCAGTTTCTCATTAGGTCGTGAGAGGTGAGAATATCTGTTATTTTTTTATCTTTTATTTTTTATTTTTAGAGATGGATAATATTTTGATTTTTGTATTCATAAAATTTGAAAAATCAGAGAATTTGTGAAGTTTTGAAATATTTAAAATGCTTCTCCTTACTATGATGTATCTAAAGTTTTGCATAAAAAATAAAGTTATGATATATACTTTTAATTTCATCAAAAATTCTTTTCTCTTCGAACACAAGTTTATGCTTAATAATAATTGTTAATTTTTTAAGAATTTTGAGTTTCCAATGAGTTTTTAATTTGTAATTATTTTATTTCTTTATAATTATTTTATTTAATAGAATTAATATGAGATAAAAGATTAATTTATTATAAATTTGTAATATGCATTATAACACATCTATAACTTATTAATTTTGACTTTATATTTTCCTTTTTACTTTTCCTTTTTATGAAATGTGTGAAAGTAATCGGTATTTTATATTGAGAATTTCATATTTGAATTAGATTGCATTTTATGTGCATTATACATGTCGAAATATAATTACAATACATTATAAATTATTAATATGGAGATGCTAAAACGTATAAAAGATTACTTTCAAGATGAGTAACACTATCGCTTGTCTGACCATCCATATAACACTCTACTGTAGCCAGTAGAACAACTGTTCAATTCATCAGACTAATATTTCTACTCCATAGACAAATTGTGTTTTTAATAATTTTTTGATAATCATTTAAAAATATTATGAAATTTAATTCTGAATTATTATCTGCTTTATAATTTGAAGATTAAAAGATTAATGTACAATAATTTTTTTTTTCAATATTTATGTGATGACAATCTAAACTGCTTTAATGCAACTCTCATTTCTCTATTCTAATATTTTATTATAATTGAATTTAATTAGAATAAGATTACTTCAATAATTTTTAAATTTTTAAAAAATTATTCAAAGCATCGAATAACTGCAATTATTGCATACTTGTACAGCTAAACATTATACAAACTAATTTCATTCCAAATTTTAATTATTCAATTTTCTAATTCATTAGCATTTTCAAATCCTAGATACATATCAATAAAGCTATAGATGAAACTATAGATAAAATGGAAATTTTAATTCCTGTTATAATGCCTAGTATCCTGCATTGTACCGTGTTATCTATATCATTCTCATCGTTGAAATTCGTTGCAGGAAACCAAGCTTGCAAGAACAAAATTATCAACCGGAACCAGATTTTTCGTCAACCCAGTACACTTCGCCCGATTCCGATTACTCACCTTCGGGACAATCGTACGAATCCTCGCATACGGAAACCTTCTTCCCCGACCCGGAGACCGCCTTAAACTACAACGAGAGGCGCAACGATCGCAAGAAATTCTATTCCTCCCGATCAATCGAGAAGGATATCATTGGAAATAATCCTTTGAGCTTTGTCTCGGACAAGGATCAGATTCTTCTGCTGCAACAGAAAGGCGTGGACCTGTATAAGAACGTATCCCCTCAGCCGCAAGATGGCGTATTGTTGCCGAATGGCGTTCCCTCGGCCACTATAGGCGGTAGTAAAGAAGGGATAGTGTTGAGAGACACGGTGGCCCTGGACGAGTACCAACAGAAGCTCCAAGAAATGACCAAATCCTGGCCGCAATTCTTGTCCAATCCGGTCACCGGTTTTGCCAACAATTATCAAAGCCAGCACGTGACAGCGAGTTACTCGACAGATGGCTCTTCGGTTTCTGGTGGCTTCAGTGGCTCCATCGATTGGCCAACGAACTTCGCTCAACCGAAACAAGGTTACGACGTGAAGGAGGATACTGCAGAGCAACCGCAGAACTTCAGGATGCCTGTTCACACTTCTCCTTATAATACTGTCTCTGTTCCTGTGAGCGTGGCGATACCGGCTATCGCGCAGGCTGTTCATGGATAGAGATATTGGAGAGTTTGGATTGGTTTAAAATCACGACTCTTTATATACTTTTTAAACATGACATGCATGGAGGACGGATGCACGGACCCATGTGCAATTAGATTAAGATGTTTGTGGGATGCGGAGAAAGGTTTCGTTTATTACCAATTTTGTAATTAGAGGTGAAATTTAGAATAAAAATCGTAAAGTTTAATAAGGAACGCATGTAAGATATTAATTTATTATAGTAAATTTTATAGTGTTTCATTCTTAAAATTTTTTGAATGAAATCATAAAGTTTTCTATCACAAGCATGATAAATATAATTTGTTCGCTTTCTTTCATATTATACAGTCAATATAATGCCAATATAAATGGCTTCGAGTGAAAAGAAAGGAATATTTGAAAAAAGATTCTAAATTATTCTAAATATTTATCTGGAGATCTGAAATTGTCACAAAATAGAAATATTATATATCTGGATTTTATTTCAGTAAGAATTTAAAAATGGAATAGTCTTCTTATAGCAGATTGAAGTTTGCGACTATTAGATATTAATTAGAAATATCGAGAGATTAAGATTCATCGATTAAAAAATGATGATTTTTGAAAGTTGCAAACGTCCTTGAGAAATTTAATATCCATTTTATAATCGCATAACTCACAATCGACATGCAAGAAAGTATTTGTCATACTGTGTATCTAATGTATATGTTCTTTAAGCATCGGTGAAAGTAATCTTTCTTTTTATCCACCATTTTGCGACGAACAGTTAGACGAGATAGGAAAGCACTTTTCTTCTCTAGAAAGTTATTCGAAAACCGAGAATTGCATTTTTTTTCTGCGCAGAATCGTTTAAATTGTATGCATCGAAGAAAAATGATAAAAACTTATTTTATTTTATTTTATATCCTGTTAATGTGTGTGTATATATGTTAGCATTTGTGTAATATACTTTAGGCATTTAAACATTTAATCGTCAAATAAAAACGATTAAAACAACGACAACAAGATTTTAATAAAATAAAATAAAATACGCACTATACCTCTTCTTCCTTCAATTAAATCGTCGCCATACAGATTTTTAATTCCTTCTACGTTTTTAGACGATTCATACGAGCAAATATCTTTGAACAAAATTTTACAACAATTAATTCGCTTATTAATATTTCCAACTATTAATATCCAACTCTGTTGTATCCTTGAATCTAAATTAATCATCTAAGAAAAAAGAATCGAAGAATCATTAATTAATTTGCACTTCAATTTTCCCTTTCAATTTTCAATACCATTAAAATTTAAAGATCAGTATAGCAAGATCAAATTATTACCAATTCATTTTCTCCGTTTAATCCGCCATTTAACAATTGCCAAGGCGGTTCTCACACGCGCGAAACAGGCTTAAACGGCGAATCCAACGATCAAGACGGATCGATCTAACAAGAATAAAATAAAGATCGAATGCCACGGTCGCCAAGATCACATCTTCCTCCGAGTTTACTTTCACTCCGAGGTCCGATGACCGGCTGAACGTTCGAAAGTCGAGAAAGTCGCTTTATCGCGAGAGACACGGGATCCTCTCGATCTTTTCAGCTCGCCGCCTTCGCCTCTCCCTCCCCTCTCCCCCTTCCCCTCCTCTCTCCATCCCGAGAAGGCTCTCTTTATTACACGAGACACGTTCACGTGCAACATAGAAGGTCAACGCCACGAGGAAACGCGTTCACGATTCGAGTTTCTCATGGATGTTGCGCTGTGTGCAATATTATTTATATTGCATTATTTATATTATTATTTTATATAATTTTATATAGTATTATTATTTATATATTATATTTTAAATTGGATCGAGTTAGAATTTTTTTTTTTTAATTTTTATCGCTTTTTGTTTCAGGACAATTTTTAAATTTTGAAAGAATTATAAATTGTAACATTTGGAGGGATTATCTGTGATCAAGGATCCAAATAGAAATACTTTAGATTGAAGTTTCTTTTGTTGGAAAGATTTCTATTAATGCGATAATAATTTGCATGCGCACAAAATGATTCACCTGTGATTAAATTAATTCATAATTTTTATTTTTAAGAAAATATTAATAAGTACAAGTTTCAAAGAAAGAGAAAAAGAGATACTCGGTCTCGAGAGTTGTTCAAAGTTATTTGAAGAGTAAAAGGCGATGGAGTATTATTTTTGTTGTTACCAAAATTACCATTATTGACAAAAACAAATAATGCAGCGAAAATTTTAGATTTTAGACAGATAGCTTCGTCAAATAAATTGAGAATAAGTGTCATCAAAATATAAAAAGTGCAAGCTTATCAACTCTATGGTAAATATGTTACTTTTATATATCGTCAAATAAATTGATGGATGAAGATAAAGTAATCACTTTTTCAAAATAGAATAAAAGAACACGATAAAAATCCATTGTTACAGTGTAAAGAGTAATCCCCATATTCGTCATAAGAAATAGAATCATTTGCATAATAATAGGAAGGAAAACTGCATACAAAAGTATTTCGTTGAACGAAGTGACAAAAATTATACTTTCTTTATTCAATGCTAATAGAAACGCGGAAACAGGGATATATAATTATTTAATAATAAGCATATCTTAATAATACGACCACTTTTGGCGTTATAGCCATTTTGCCTTTCAAGGGAAGGTAAAAATTTTCTTTTCCGGTGAAAAGATCAGAGAATAGCGAATTGTTGTTTCACCGAGGCTTCGTTGCTTCAACGAAAGTATATTTCCCTTATTCGATGATTAACGCGATACTCAATTAACGAAAGCATGGAATCGTTCAATTAACAAAATTAAAAATTAAGTTGTAATGTATAGAAATTAGCAGAAAAAAAGTTTCTGAAAATAGAAGAGAGTGAAGATGTTTTGAAAGACTATTTTCAGTTTCATTGTGTGAAAAAAAAAAGAAAAATTCATAACCAGTTGAAGCATTTGTATCATTGTTCTTATTTAATTATTTGTTAATATTTTTTTTTTATTAAAACTTATTTATTTACTTAGAACATTAGAATATCAAAATGATATGTATATATATATATATTTTTAATGATTATTGAGAATATGAAAATGTTTTAAATAATTATTTAAAAGAGAAATTATTTATAAGTTTAAGATGAGAAAAAGATAGAAGAATATTGTTAAAAAATATGGCAAAAGTAAAAATATTGGTATCGAATTTTAATTCAATAAATTTATCAAAATTTTTCCATTTTTCTAAAATTTCTGCGGTGTACAATCATTAAACTTGACCAAAAGAAAGGAAATGAATATTTAGACATGATATTTTTTTCAAAATTCGCTATCAAATAGCAATTTCATTGTTACATATGCAAATTTATGTAAATTTATGCTCTTATGAATATGAATAAAAGAATCAAATCTAAATGAAGATTTATCTTATATTTATCTCATAAAAACTTCTTCCTTTTCTTTGAAACTTTTCAAGAAAAAAGAAACTTAAAATTCATCTCTTAAAAAACCCTTTAACATTCAACATTTTTACTTGAATCTAAAAATTAATCAAAAATTAAAGCAACAGTAAATAATATAACAATGATAAAAATTTGCGATAACAATTAATAATTTAACAAATAATAAAGATCTCGAACAGCAAAATTGTCACGAGACAATTTTACAAAAGTGACACGGGGTAAAATGTTCCCTTCTCGAGAGGAGAATCTCTCCAAAAGGCCGGAACACGAAAATGGAAGAAGTGAAAGGGTATGTTGGATCTCGAGTGCAGAGCCTCGCGCGAATATTTCGATCTCCTTCCTCGCCTTTTCATTTCATCCTCGTCAATCTTCTTTCCCTCGTGTTCCCTTTTTCGCCGGATCCTTTACGTATGTGTACATACCGCCACTTTCTATTTCATTCCCTGGCAACAGACGGTCATTAATTAAAACGACGAGCGTGCGTAGTAAATCATTCCGTTTGATTAATCCAGAAATGAACAGGCGTCATTGGGAGTGTAATCATTCGATATTCAAGCGATTCAAATGATCGAAGTGCAATCTGAATCTGCTTGCATAATAATTTTAAAGTGAATCTATAAGGAGAAATGTAAATCTGAATCTTCTTGCATAATTTGCAAATTTATGAAATATTAATTTTAAGAAATCTATCTAGCAATATATTTTAAGTTTTGTAATTAATCGTTAATTTTTAGAAACATATAATATTAAGAAAATATTTTTTTCCTTTCCTTATATTCTATCCTCCTTATAAATTATATTATATTAATTAAAATATCAGCAGATAATTAAAATTTTTATTTTCACATTTTCTTGTTAAAAATTTAAATTAAATCTGATTTTAATTTACAATATAGTATAATATAGAATTAATATAATGTATATATATGATCTTTAATAAATTCTAAATACAACATTGTAGCAATTTTTCCTTTTAAATTGCGTGTAATTGATATTCTTTATTATCAATTCAAATTTTATGATCATTTCAAGACCTTTTGAAAAAATAATGAATACACATTGTATTAAAAGAAGTGTTTCAAATCATTGAAATGATTAATATGTATCATTGTATATTTTCATCTCGATGATCATGAAAAGACTCTTTTAATTTATCTTTTAATTCATTGCTATTTCAAAAGAGACATTTCATTTCACTTTTCATGATGGTAAGAAACAAATCTTTAAAATTGAGGCTATATAAAATTGGAATCACAAATTATATATGATAATTATGTATGAAAATATTATTGTTATAATTATTATATAATTATTATTGTTATAATATAAAATTTATTGGTATTTGATATAATTTGTGGTTTGTAAAATTTCACTACTAATAGATATTAGTTCATAATTATGCAAGAGGATTCAAATTATGACGGAAAGACTTTCTGCATTGTGGCTTCTACAAATCTTATATACAAAGTGTCAATATATTCATGAAACATTTTTGGAGGATCAATTTTTAAAAGTCAAAACAAAAATTGGTATCTAAAGTTGATAAAACAAATCCCAAAGTGTAACTTATTTAATTTATTAAGTAAAAATTAAATAAATAAAGATAACAATATGTGTCCAAAATATCTCAATTTTTCACCGTCTCGTTTCATCATAATGCAAATTTTAATTATAATTTAATAAACAAATCTTGACTGATATTTTTTATATCAATTTTTGTATTTGTTTTGACTTCGATTCTTCAAAAATTTCTCATGAATATAATAACACTCTATATATATAAAACTAATAATTTAATTTAAAAGAATAATGTACTCAATATTTGTAATGACTAAAATCTATATTAGTCTATCAGATTATCATTTAGAGACTGATTATCTTGATATATCCTGCTCTTCAGAAAATCTTGTTCCACTTTTACCCAATCACCTTAAGGAAGTTAATAATTGGCCAAACGTTCTCAAGCGTTGCTGAAAGCGAAAACTGTTTTACACTTGCTATTGTTTCCGTGTTTAGCTTTAATTGCTATGGACGGTACGCCTTTATCGTCTTTGAGGTTAGTTCATTGTAATTGCAAATAATTCTGTTGTAGTGTTTCCTTTTAAAGGAAATTGAAGTTTGTGGTTGAAAGAAATTGTTGAAAGAAAATAGGTAAATAAAAAACGGACGAAGAAATTTAAAGTTATCTAATATAAATGACATTTGCGTCATTTAATTTCTCATTTTAATAATTATAAAAATTATTCGATATCAATTAATGTCATCGATAAAAATTAATCAAAGTTGTTCGAACTTACAAATGTTTCAAAATTCGTTTCGAAACAAAAGGAATCGATATGGAATCAAAGTTGAAGCGAAATCAAGTGAAATCCAAGATCTAAGAAACTTCGAGAGAGGCGCGATATCGATTAAAGTTCGCTTTCTTTCTTTCGAGAGCAAACTCTGTGGAATCGATTTGCGATCAAAAATGCGGATTGCCATTGGATCGTGCGTTACTGTTCTCTCCTCTCTTCACTTCGCTGTCATTTTTCGAACCGACCAACCCCATTCAGAATGTCAATGTCGAGATTCTTGATCGGTTTCACCGAACCAGTTGTATTTTAGTTACGATATTGTTGCCTTTGATACGATTTAACCAGTTTGGTCTCTTTTTTTCCCTCTCTTCTGAGAAACGATATCTCAAGAGCGGTTTCGATTGTTGCATTTTACAAAGCTGTCATTGGTGGAATGCCTTTGATCTTTTAGTTCCAGTTTCTTTCGTGTAACACGTTTTTCATGTTTCCTTTGTACCTCAGCCGAGTATCTGAAATTTTAATAGAGATTTATTTTAATTGTCGTTCCATATAATGAAAATATATGTACACTCAATAATGCATATAACAAATTGCACTAGATTGAATTGCATTTAATTAAACGTATAACTTTATTTTATATAGAAATATGCATCAGTGTGTTTTAATTAAAATTAAAAAGATGACAAGTATTTGTTTCTTTATTACGTGAAATTTATTATACGTATTACACTTATGTGTAATATGTGTATTAATGAGAATAAGAAATAAGTTTATAGATACATAGTTTAAGTTACGTAAAATAATTGGCCATTTCGATTAGAGAAAAGTTTTATATGTTGCAGCATCAGGTAAGAATATTATTCGAAGCATGAAAGTGATAGTCATTGACGAGTTAATTTTTTAATGATACGAAACTCGTTTCTAGAACGTTTGAATCGTGTGAACACAAAATTATCAAACTAATTATATTCTCATCTTATAATGTTACTCTTATGCAATGTTATTGCTCTTTGTTTTTAACAAACAAATCTTTGATTCTGAATTTCGAATTTTGTATTAATTAATCATTTTATAACGCGAAATTGGTTTTTGGAGATTGTTAAAAATATAGAAAAAAAAAAATTTCTTTTCACTATTGGCTTTATTACATACTTTCTCCTTGCAGGATTAAAATAATTCGTTTCACAAAGGAATCAATTATTCAAAATATCCGAAACAGAATTTCTTCAAGGTATGACACATATGCCTGTTTTCTGTTTTACAAGATTCTCCTAGAAAATGATTTATTGCTAATCAAATCATAATTTATTATTAATGAATTATTGACAAATGATATAAATTTGAATTTGAAAGTGGCCTTCAATTTTACGATTAAAAAGAAAAAGATAATTTATTTAAAAAAATTTTTTTAAGACAAATAATAAAAACACAATATTTATCGAAATCAATGTAAAAATTAAATTTATATACAATTGTTTCATTCGAAAAATTAATCTTGCAATATTAGTCTCACATCAATTCCTTTAACATGAAACCAAATTATATAATAAAACAGAATTGAACAACTTTTATTTGAAATCAAAATAATAAACAAAAATTTTTTATTTTAACTAAATTTTAAAATTAAATTTTACTTGAGAAATAAATTAATTTCACTATAATTTTTTATATATCAATTGTTTGATTATAATAACAAATATATATTATATTATAAAATATAACTATTTTTCAAGTAGATAATCTAAAAGATAAAATAATACATATCATGTGAAATAAACTTTATTTCGATAATAGTTCAATTCTGTTTTTGTAAATATATATGTATATATACATATATATATAGCATATTAATAATCACAATAATAAAGCTTACATGTTTCATACAACGAGATTAGATATCTATGATGCATAATTTCGAATACGCACAAAGGACGATTTGATTGTGAGCCGTGATTCTCTACGCTCCATTTTGTTCTGGAACTCAGGGAAAGTGAGATTAGATATCGTAAAAATTCTGGGCATCGATTTATGCAACGACCTTAGAGGAAAGTAAATTGGTGACGATGGTCACCGGCATCCCAATGACGGATCCGCATTGGGGAGAACGAAAAGTGAAATGGAAAACGCTGCACTCTTTTGCCACGGAATCGTGCGCTCAACGAGCGTAGATGATATCTCTTGGGATGCATTCGAATACCTGTTTCGATATCGCACGGGAAAGAGGATGTGAGAGATAGAATGTCCTACAGAGGGAATAGATGGAGAAACAAGTGATGAGAATTCTGTATAAAGAAACGTAAAAAAAAATATTTGAGTTTCCCTTTTTCTTGTTTTTTTTTTTATTAATATTATTCTATTTTATTAATAAACATTTAGTTTCTTTTTTTATTAATAAACATTATTTGTTAATCATTAGATTAATATCCACATATGTATTTGAGATTTGTTTTGCACAGAGAAACAGAGTTGGAAAAGTTTGATTGAAAGATTAGTTAAACTTCTTTTGAAAAACTAATTTGAATTTGAATTTATTATTAATAAATTCAATTTAAATTTAATAAATAATTTAATTAAAATTTAATCGTTGTTTATTATTTATTATTAGATTGATATTTGAGATTTGTTTTGTTAATACGTATGGGATAAATAATTGGAAAAATAATGATTTTTTTTTAATTAAATATCGTCGTGCAAAATATTAAGATATAAATAAAAAAGAGACGAAGAATTGGTACGAATATTCTTGGAGGAAAGTATAGTAGTGAAACGATTTTCTAATCGTGGAATTTAGAAAATAAAAAGAAAATAAAAAATCGTGGAATTACTAGAAAATAAAAAGAACAATGAAATAGTGGATTAAGAAATTTACAATGTTTATTGTGGCTTATTTGAAATTAGCATTTGCCATTCTCACATTTAATTAGAATATACATTGCTTCGTACATTTTTTTACCTTCTTTCACTCATTGTTATGATCGATATCAAAGAAGTAGGTTAAACACAGAGATTGAATCGTCTTATTTATACGATTGTTTGAAAATATATTAATTGATCATATTTACTTTCTTATTTTATTAATTCTTTCTATTTCTTGAAATTTTTTTACACTAACATTTTAAATTAGTTGCAATTATTCGCTAAATTATCAAACTTTATGATTTAAAGGAACTGTTTTATATTCATTCAAAAATTCCATCGAATTTACAATTTAAATTATAATCAATCGTGAGTTACAATCATCTAAAATTTATACTTAAAAATCCAAAGAAAAAATGGTAAAACTAACAAAAATTTTAATTTAAAAGAAACTAAAACAGACATTATTATTACTTACAAAAAATCATAAATTAATATACAGATATTCACTAATATACATTTATTCATAAAATTTTATTATAAATTATCTTAAATTTCAATTTTAAATAAAACTAAAACAAAATTATATTATTATTACTTTTTTTACCTTCAATCAATTCATATACTGCACCATATATATTCACCATCTCAATCGTTTCTTCGAAGAGGAGAGATTCACAGAAGACCCATTCTTTTACTTCCTCTTGAAAGAAGGTTCTTCAAGATCGTTCGATGTCCATTTCCTTGTTATGTTCCAGAGGGCAGCACAGCCGAAAAACGCCTGAAGCGCCAATTTCTCCGGTAACCAACTCTAGGTCACGGCCGTTTTTGCACAAACACACGTGTAATCTCGCAAAGCATGGCCCGTGTGCACGAAAGGCACGACACCTTCGATTCGAGTCTCCTCTGCTGGTTGGGCACCTATCTTCATCGTCTCCCCACCTGTTTCTCTCTTCCGGTACTTCATTCGGCCTCGCTATATATATATAGCCAGAATCCTTGCTGGATATATATGACAGTGTGTTCCTGGCCATCGAGTCGAGCTGATCGAGAAAAGACAAGGAAAAGGCTGGCCTACAATGAAGCTGAGAATCTTTGTAAGAAGCAAAGGACATTTGTGTTTGTCAAAGTTTTGGATTTTGGATTTTGGATTTTGGATGATGGATCTGTGATGACAGGATTGAGTTCTCTTCTTTGTGATATCTTTAGTGAATTTTTAAGAGAATGATTAGATAGAGTGATAGAGTGTCTTGGATATGTTAGGATAAGAAAGATGGATGGGTTGTTGGTTGAGTAATGAAATTGTGTTTTAATATTATTTGTTTTCTGTAATGAATCAATGATTAAGTCATTTAAAAGATAAACATCTTGTTGATATAGTTTGTTGTATTAGAAATGTTGAATCAATTGAATGAGTGACAAGGATCATTTTTGTAATATTAAATTAAGATAGAATTGAGAAAAATAAATTAAGTTAAATTATTGATATTATATTTTATTAATATAATAACTATTGATTATTATTATCAATTATAGATAGAGGATAAATTTAATTAAAGTCCTTTGATTAAAATCCTCTCACACAAATTTATATGTATAATTATTAGATAGATCTGATAATAAATCTTTATATTTCAACTTTTTCCAGGAATTTTTTTAAATAACATTATGATTATTAAGCTCCAAGTTTATTAATTGTTATTTGGAACATTAGGATATGATAGGAGAAAAGTAAAAAAAAGAATATATATCTCTTTATTATTCATCTTTTAGTTTTTACTCATGAAACTTCAATTTACAGATGAGCTACTTGATCCTCGCGGCAATATTAACCGTCACGCTTGCTACGTTTGGTAAGGAGCAGTAAGTACACATCTATTTAGCAATTAGGAGCGTTAACCATTATTCGAAGCTCATTATTGTAACAATATTAATACGATACATATGCCTAACCAACTTTCTAGCGTGCATATTAGGATCCACGTGCCAGAGATAATTCAACACGAGGAAAAGAAGGTGATAAAATACAAAGATCATGGTGGACACGATCATGGAGGTGGAGGAGGTGGGGGAGGAGGTGGTGATACAATAATAATTACATCACCTGGAGGTGATGGTCATGGAGGAGGATTTGGAGGAGGACATGGAGGCGGATTTGGTGGAGGACACGGAGGCGGATTTGGAGGAGGACACGGAGGCGGATTTGGTGGAGGACATGGAGGAGGAGGTGGCCATGGAGGAGGTGGTTTTGGCGGACATGCCAGTTTTGGAGGTGGTGGCCATGGAGGTGGTTTTGGAGGTAAAAATTCAAATTAAAATTTTAAACTATGAATATAATGTGAAAATTGTTTAATTTATATTTGTGAATGTAATAATTCTCTAATTCATAAGTTTGAAAAATAGGTAACATAAATACAGGAAATTTTTTCTTACTTACTAGATTGCAAAAATTATTATCTCTTGAAAAATAGATATATATCATACAAATTGAAATAGAGAATCATTTCACTTTCCAATTATAATAATAAGTATATATTTAGATATTCTAGATTTTTGCAAATCCTATATATACATATACATATATTTGATACACTTGGCCTTATTAAATTTATCTGTAAATCTATCTCTATAATATCTGTAGTCTATATTTGCATTTAATAAGAAAAATATAATGATACAACTTATGACTTTATTAATAGCAACTTTTTATGAAATATAAATGTTAATCATAGAATATTTCAGCTTGCAAAAGAAAGAATATCATAATTTAGTATCATGATAAACATCTACTTCAATTTCAGCCACTATAATCAATGAGTTTTCATTTTCATGATATTGCAACAAAGATTCATGAAAATCTCAAACGTTGATTATCATTAAAATGACACGCAAAAAGTGTTTTTACATTTCTCAGCTCATAACAGATAATACTAAAATGTATTCTCACGTTCTCTTTACCTTTAATAGCGATATCTAGTTGATTTCCAGAGAATGTATCTTCTGTTTCTCTTTGCGCTCTTTAGAATCGAGCAGAACTCGTTTTATGGGTTTTCACTTCCGGCTTATTTCGGAGTCAAGAATTCATACACGGATACACACACTATCATAAATCTTCGTTTACATTCATCCAGAGTGTAATTTACTGCAAACATGTTTGAATTATGCGAATTGCTACGCAAAGTTGGACGGTGATCAATGATATTGTTAGAAATTTCATTTCGTTCAATTTTTTCTTTTAATCATCATAAAAGAATTCTTTTAATTATCAATTGAAATTATATATTTTCTAATAAATAACTAAAAAAAAAAAAGAATATTTGAATGTAGGCAATATAAAATAGGTAAAAGAAAGATTCGAGTAAAGCTGTCCAATATGTTACTCTCTCTACCACTAAAAATAGTTTAATTCTGCAATGAATTGTCCCAGAAGAAAAATATGGGAGTTATATATTTTTCCTATGTAGAAATTCGCCGAAGAAAAACTGAATCATGCTACAAAGATATATAGTAAGATTATAACGATAGAAATAATAATAGTATGTCATAAACTTTGCCTTGCAACTTTGAAAATTGGGCATAGAGTATTGCTGGCTGAAAGTTTAAAATCGAATCTCGAATAGATTTCCTTATTTTTCCCTTGTTTGTTCAAAAGTAAGATGAATGAATGCAATGAATGTAATACTTATATAACTTTTTATGATATTTGTGATTTGATTATTCAAAGTACCATAAATATTTGAATATTCCACAAATATAAATAAGCTTAACTTAAACAAATATTGATATTTAAAACAAAGTGATGTAAAATAAGCAAGAAGAACAAGTGTATACAGTGTTGGATTATTGATTAAAAGTACCCAAATTTAAATCCTCTATATTCCTCATTCTCATACAAACACAATTATTTTCAGGTGGCCACGGAGATGTTATAATATCAAGTTCCGGAGGTGGATATGGAGGTGGTGGATATGGAGGCGGCGGTGGTGGATATGGAGGCGGCGGTGGTGGATCAATTATCGAACATCATGGCGGCGGAGGAGGATTCGGTGGAGGCGGTGGCGGAGCAATTATCGAACACCATGGTGGTGGAGGAGGATTTGGAGGAGGTGGTGGCGGAGCCATAATTGAACATCATGACAGTGGATTTGGAGGTGGAGGCGGTGGATACGGAGGTGGAGGCGGATATGGAGGCGGCGGTGGTGGTGGAGGAGGAATCATCGAACATCATGGTGGCGGAGGATTTGGAGGCGGAGGCGGTGGATACGGAGGTGGAGGCGGAGGATTCGATGATCATCACGGCGGCGGAGGATTTGGAGGCGGAGGTGGATATGGAGGCGGTGGAGGAATCATAGAACACCATGGTGGCGGAGGATTTGGAGGCGGAGGCGGTGGATACGGAGGTGGAGGCGGTGGATATGGAGGTGGAGGCGGAGGATTCGATGACCACCACGGTGGTGGAGGATTTGGTGGTGGTGGTGGTGGTGGTGGTTTTGATGATCATCACGGTGGAGGAGGATTTGGAGGCGGAGGCGGAGGCGGATATGGAAGTGGTGGAGGTGGATTCGATGCACACCACGGTGGAGGAGGATTTGGAGGTGGAGGCGGAGGCGGATATGGAGGTGGCGGTGGTGGATTCGATGATCACCATGGTGGCGGAGGGTTTGGAGGAGGCGGTGGATTCGGTGGTGGCTATGGTGGTGGCGGTGGTGTCGAACACCATGCTATTAGCAACAGTATATCGTCAGGATTCGGCAGCAGGTAAAAAAAAATACTTTTCTGTTATTTTCCACAATTTTTTAAGCGAGGAAAGAATTTTTTTCTCATTGGTTTAATTTTTTTTCTTTTATACTATTATTTTCTTTTTTTAAGGTGTTAAAAATTGAGATTAGATTTCAATTTTTATATAATAATTATTGAATTGTGAATAGAATAATTATTTAATTTTTATTTGTAAATTGAAAATTGGAAAATATTTCCTATAATTATTTTATTATTATATTCATTCATATTTAGTTTAAACTTCTTCAATCAGTTTTAAAAATTTAAATAAATTTCTTCTTACTAAGATAATCTACTTTTATTGAAGATATTGTAAAAATTGCAATAAGAAATTAACATTAACTGATTTAAAATTTATTATTAATTTTAAATGAATTATTAACAATTTTAATTTATATTTCAGCGGACATGGCGGCGGTGGTGGTGGTTTTTCAGGCTACCATAAGAAAAAATAAGAACGATCGATGGATTAAAAACTGTAGTATTTACGATCGTATTTGACCGACTTTTGATATCGAAACGATCAAACGTGCCGTGTTTTCAGCGCGCGATTGTTAACATTCACATCCTCGATCGTGAACCGTCACAGCACTGCCAGTACATAATAGAACGCCGATTCGAAACGATCGTTCCGATTTCCCCTCATTCTCGACGATCGACTTGTTTTCCCTCTCGTCAATATACTTCGAGAGACTCCATTTGTCATTTTCACTTTCGTTTTTAGATGCACGGATTTTATATTATCCTGTGATGTTGCACGTAGCAGAGGAAATGGAAAGTTTTAGAAATTCGATCGAACAAAATTAATATAGCCATACGATGTAGTGTCCGATTTAGCGCGCCAAGTGAAATCGTAATAAAAAGAAAAGGAGGTTAATTTTTTTTAAAATAATAGAAGGATTTTCAAAAAAATTTAATTAACGAGAAAAAGTGAAGGAAATGAAATTAATGTATAATTTTTTTCTTCTTTTATAATTTAATCATTCGAAGATTGATCATTCATCTTATCATCACAATTCCGTCCAATGTTTTAATGCATATGTTTTGCAATTGCGATACATCTACGTGATTGTTTACTCGTTATTGCGTTTTGTATATATTATAAGTTGTGTAAATATTTTTCATTTATTGTTACTTTTAATAAAATGTTTTGTATATGTTTTGTAAAATTTCATATCTTTTCTTTTTTTAGATTACTTAAATGAAAAATGTATCTATCCTTTAATCCTTTAATCATTACTATATTTTATTAAATTAAAAATGTTGTCTATAATATAGAATCATCTTTATATAAATTTATATAATTTATATATATTTGAATATTATATTAATATATTATAAATTAAAAAAAAATAATTCGTTTCAAGAATAAAGAAAGAGTAATTTAAAAAAAAAATCCATTTCAAATTTTTCAATGACGTGAATTCCAAACAAGAAATTAAATTTGTATTTTTTATTATATTAATAGTACTCAAGAATAATTTAAATCATTAAAATTATATTCGATTTTAGATATAAACATTTATTTAACACAATTATAAAAAATTAATAATTTTAATTACGTACGTAAAATTTAAGTATTCTTTGATAAAATTCTTTAAAACATGTAACAATAAATAAATAATTAAATAGGTTTCTAACATATTTCTGAGTTATATTAAGAATAATAATATTTAATACTTATACTATGTATTAGAAATTCCAATGTTACAAAAAGGCTTTGTTTACTACATATCTACTAAGTTTCTTGTTCAGTATAATAATAAAAACTAAAACAGTGTTATTATAACAGTATAGTTTCAAGTTCGAAAGCATTATCCTCGTTAGTCGCTTAGAATCATTTATTACATTTATTACGAAAGTTTATTAATTAAAATATGACAATACAATATAATAAAGAGAAAAAAATAGATATAATATTAATTTATAGTGATACTAAATGGAATAAAATAATTCGAATATATGAATTGTATAAAGAATTGTGAATTTTGAATTATTCTTTTGTGCTACGTTTCAATAAATCATGGATTTGTAAAATAGACAAAAAATATATAAAATAATATAAAATAGACAAAATATTAATCTAAACAATTACAAGTGAAAAATTGAAAATTATTATTATAAGCAGTGATATATAATCAAAAAATTAATTATTATGAAATTGTAAGAATATATCGTAATAAACCATATATAAATAAGTTTCATTTATATCATCATAATATATTGATGATTTTCAAAATGGATTTTTTAAATGGATTTTACGTCAAATATGAGGTAATTCAATTTTCTTTTGATAATTATTTAGAAACGAATCAATTTTTAACTGAGTTATATCAATTTTTAACACTAATTATAAAGAGTTAAATAGGCATAATGTATTATTGATACATTGAGAATTCAGAATTATCTTTGGAATATTATTGTATTAATTTCCGAAGAAAAGCAGAATTTATTAATCATATTTTATTAACATTGAATATTGAAAAATAAAAAGTAAAAAAGAATTATTAAAAAATTATATGAACTATTGAATGATATTTCTCTAAAAATCAATATTAATGAGATATCAGTATGATAGCGGTTCATAATGCTAGAAATGTATAAAATATTTAATATTTTTCAATTAAATAGTGTATGCACTATTTGATCAGCTCAATTTTCCTAATTTTTTTATAAAAAGTTATCAAATTCCATGAAATTCTGATAATATGAAAGAACGATTATGAAATACATCTTGCACTATGTATACACAATATTGTGTATTGTATATGGACACACGCATTTTTATTAAATAAGGTAATATTATTGTTTTCTTTTATTATTTTAAATTCTTCAGAATGAAATTCATTTCGCTTTCAAATTCACAATATATTAAATCGGCTTTAAAAAATGGATATTAATTTGTAAAAAAAATATGATGACTTTAAAAAAAAATTTTAAAATGACCTTCATAGAATTTTTTTCATTGTCACATGATATATATTATCATCCAATTATTATTCTATATTTATCTATATTTTTATTTTTTACATTTATTGTTTTAAATCGTAAAAGACATACCAAATACTTTGATTTTTTGTACAATTTCAAAACATGAAATAAGAAATCCCATAAATATTTATTCTATATCCAATATTTATCCTATATCTCATGTTATAACATTTAAATATTTTATAATTACAGGCAACCATATTTATTAATTTTGTCTGCTGATCTATAAAGAAAATGCACATCAATTCTTACCTCAATACTTCAACTGTTATGCCCACTTTAAACGCATCTAAATTATACTTATTATAAATTATATTTATTTAATTTCATGCATAATTTAAAATTGAGGGTAAATTTTTACTTATATTTAAAATATATATATTTTATTCGTGAAATTCAAAATGTTCATTAGCAAAATGACGACAATTTCATGAAAATATGTATAATATATTATTATGAACGGATGGGAATTCTTATGTCTATATATATATTATCTACAAACGGTAAGGAACATGCTTTTGATGTAAATGACAGATTGAAATAATAGATCTAAATAATAATATGGCTAGATATATTTTGTATTATAAATGAGATATAAAAAAAAAATTAGATGTGACATATTTTTGTCATGAATGTCACAAGAATATATGTAATTTGATATTTATCTTCAGTTACATGCGACATTATCGACACAGTATAAAAAATGATTGTAATGTTAATAATTGAGAAATCTTATTTTATTGTTAAAAACTATAAATAGATATAAATCAAAAAAGCTTGGGATAAACAAATTTATATTTCTCGACTTCATTCTTATATATTCACAATATAAAAAACTATTAATTGATATGTATATAATAATTTATAATTCTGAACACATTCTTTGATTTAAAAAAAATGAAGTTAATTTTAAATCTATTTCCATTATTTGATTTGTAAAAAAATAATTTATATCATATAACATCCTCTTTTGAATCAAACAACTTTTGTTAAAACATTTTTTTGATTTTTTTGAATTTAATTAATTTAATTTCGTAAAATATTCGTATTTAATTAAACGAAACATAATTATACGAAACTTATATCATTGTAATTTCAGTCGCTTAAAGATTGTTTTATATTTTATTTTTGTATTTCGCGATTCAAAGTTAAAATGAAAAATTATATATTTTTAAGTCAAATAAACATCATTTAACATATAGATAGAATATGTATAATGCTTTCTCACTTTGGCATTAACGATTTTGATATAATTCTATTCTAAAATAAAGCATACTCTTATATTTTAGTTTAATTAATTTAATTATACATACTTATATTCTGTTGATTCAGGCACTTGTTATATATAAATGGCTTTCCTGTGGTGTTTCATTTCTTCGAGTATTTCTAAATCTTTTTCCTTCTTTTCTATTAAACTCAATTTTGATTCACTTGACTATTGCACTGCCATTTTATTTTCTTCTTCTTCATGAATTTGTTTGTTCTAATCCTATATTTTCCACTCGCGTTTCTTCGATGCATTTTGCACTTTCTTCGTCTATACTTCATGAAGCCGGCTTATATATCGTTTTTTAAAATTGCGTAGCTAACCTCAATTTGCGGTGAATGATGTTGATTCGTGTTGACCGCAGATTTTCATTGCCTTCTCTTGTAATAATAAATCGGTTAATGAATTCTCTGTTGTAAGAACCACGTATATAAACGATTTTCGATATCCTCATTTTCTTTTTGTATTGCAATATGTATTGCTCTCCATGATTTCCAAAATTTGATAAAAGTTTATACTTTCGACGAATCCGATGTATGACATCTCGTGAAACTCCATATTCGCGACATAACAATTTCACTGATGTTCCTGTTTGCAATTTTTCAGCAATTATTATCTTTTTACCGAGAGAAAAACTCTTTTCTTATTTTGATTTTCTGCCATGATCAAACAAAAACACTGCACTTTTTTTGCATTTTTAAATATTTTGACTGTTAGTGTGCTTC